CATTTAACACTTGTAGTTAATGAAATAATGCAAAGTGCCTTACTACTCCTGCTCCCCCCCATATGCTTTCTGGGGAGATCCACAGCTGCTTCTATTCTCAGCGGACTACCCACTTAACTGCATGACAATATACTATTTATTGGCCATTGTGGAGTGGGGATTCTCAAGAAGGTAACATTTTTTAAAAATGATTAAACAGTTAATTACTTACAAAAAAGCTTTCATGTATCTTTAGTCTTTTTGAGATGCTAGACATTCCTTCAAAATTGAAAAAGAGTAAATCTAATCTATCGTCTGAGTGATGTTTAAATTATAAATGACCAAAAAAATTACCTCAACACTAACATAGAAAAATTAACAAATATTTCATCCCTAGGTAAAATCCTTTGATCCCAGATGTATTGTACTATAAACACACTGAATCACATTCTCATACTTGAAGCTAAATTGGTTAGAATACTGAATCTTAAAATCCTCTGAGCGCGATAGATAAGCTGCCATCAAGTCTGGAACATTAGGGAAGAAATTTGCTTCGTAAGAGAAAATTTATGAAAGTGTTACGACTCAGATTTGTAAGATAGGCTCAGTGAAGTTATTCATTGTAACAGCATATATCTCTGTAAGGAACGAGGTTGAATAATAGGAATACTAGCAGGTAGTCAGAATATGTGCCTCGATCCTATGTTAGTGGAACCTAACTAAATGATGTAAACTGACTATAGTTCCCAGATTGTAGAAGGAAATGTAAGGTCATTGTAGCTGAAATGTTCGCAAGTCGTTAATCTTATGTGTGTGAAGTATATTCTTTGTGCCCAGCTCGTCAACAAACGCACATAGTTTGGAACCAAACCATTCCAGGTTCCAGAGCTTCTTTGCACTACCTGCTGAATAGGAAGATTAGTTAACGTTGATTTTGAATGTTCTCACTCTATGTTCTTTCTGTTTACTGATTATGCTGGAGTATTATCTTGGATTATCTTATTTATGAAGGTATTATTGGTAGAAGTTCATTTTTAGAACTGTCCAAGTAGAGACAAGAAGATTACCTAAGCAATTTATTTTTTAAGAAAGCTTAATTTTGAAAAGATTTTTCCAAATCTTTAAGCAACATGGACTGACATTCAACATTACCAAGATGGGTAGGGACTATTTCTTAAGTGAGAAGAGAGACAACATTGCTTTTCACCTCTTTTTATCCCCCACAGGGTCAGGCCTGGGGCTCCGGCCCCGTCCCCACCCGTGGTCAGCAGAGACCCAGCTCCCTGACGCCCAGAGCACGAGGGGTCTTGAGGCGGCCGGTGGGGCCTGGGTCTCCTTGACCTCCGACCTCCCAGCCTGTGGGTCTGCCTGCCCGAAGCCCCCCTGGGCTGCAGCGCCACGAGCCGTCCTGCTCATCCCAGTGCGGCGGGCTCAGCCCCAGCAGGTGCGTGCCGGCGCTCTGCAGGCCGGCCTGGTGCCCACGGGAGACGCGTGGGCGCCGCATGGCAGGGCCGGCCCACAGGGGCAGCAGTGACCCCTGAGGGGTGGAGACCTGCAGACAGTAACCGTGGAGACACGGGTGGGAGGAGGTACCGGGTGGGTCTTTGGAGCTTGTGGGCTGGCACCTCCCGCCCAGGCATCCTCCCCGAGCCTCAGTTTCTCCTGCGCATGGGCAGTGATGGTGCCCGGGAGCAGCCTCCGAGCGCAGTGGTCTGGTTGTGGCCCAGAGAGCAGGGAGGCCCCGCCCCGCCCCGCCTCTATGGGATGGGTGTGCCTGGGGTCGGTGGCCGCAGCCTCAGCGGCGGGCTGGGGAGAGGCGATGGGCCAGCCTGCAGCAGCGTGGGGAGGGGACTGGCCCTGGGTGGGCGCGTGCTGGGCGTGAACACCTTGCTCCAGGGAGCCCGCCCCCCCGTTTCTGGCCGCAGAGACGGTCACCAAGCGCCCGTGCCGTGCCAGGTGCTGTCCCAGGCGTCGGCACGGCGATGGTGGGACCCAGCCCCCACTCCTGACCCAGTGTGCTCTGCGAGCACGGCCAGGCAGGGGCACAGGGGTGGAGGGTGCTGGGCCGCCCTCCCGGGGGTCAGGGAGGCCTCCCAGTGGAGGGGAGGCTGAGTCCTGAGCTAGGAAGGAGGGACGAGCAGGAGCGTGTGAAGATGCAGGGAACAGCATCGAGGCGGGGGAACAGCAGGTGCAAAGGGTTTCGGTATGTGGGGGCAGTGAGGGACGGGGAGGCTGAGGGCTAGTGAGGGGCGAGCCCTGGACGCGGAGCCGGGATTGGGTTCTCGGGGTGGCGAGGAGCCGGCCACGAGGAGGCGAGGGAGACTTCCGGTGCAGGCCGGGTCCGAGGCCCGCCTCTGTCCCTGCAGGACCTGCTTGCGAGTGCTGGGGGCTCGGTATCCTGGGCGAGCGTGGCCATTCCGCAGCTGGGGGGACTGAGGCCGAGCAGGGGAGCAGCTTGCAGGGGGTGGGGTAGGGCAGCGCTGCCCCGCAGATGCAGGGCAGATGTGACGGGAAAGGCGGGACCTGCCCCCGGCACCTAGGGGCTGCTGACAGGCAGGTCGCCGCCCGCCCCGCTGTGAGGGGCCCAAGCGGGCAGGCTGGGCGCGGGGCGGGGGAGGCCCCAGAGGGTCGAGGACGGGGCTCCCTGCGGTCAGGACGGTCCTCCCGGCTCTCCTCCTGGGGCGCAGGCGCCCGGTTCTGGAGTTGTTGGAGACGGGACTCCCGGTGCGGCCGCCCCGTGCAAAGAGCCGGCCGCGCAGGGGAGCGCCCGAGGACGGGCCACCATGTCCCCGTGAGGCTGGCTGGGACACTCCGGACGGAGGCCAAGGCCGCCCCGGCTGGAGGGCACTCCTGCCCGACCGGCGCTGCGCACGGGGACGCCCTGGCCCAGCTGCCGCCCGCGCCCGCGTGCAAACCCGCCGGGGTGCGGACCTCGGCCGCCACCGGTGCGGCCAGCTGCTCGCGGGCGCCGTCCAGGACGTTGCCCTCCGGCCCCGGGGCAGTTGGGAGCGGCCGCTCTGCGCGCAGAAACGGGCTCGGCCTCGCGCCCCGCCGCCCGGGCCTGCTCCACCCTCGCCGTCGCTGGCCCCGCCCCCGCCCGGGCCTGCTCCACCCTCGCGTCGCTGGCCCCGCCCCCGAGGGCCCCCGCCCAGGCTCACAGGCAGGACACACATCTGGAGACCCCAGCGTGGGCCGCGGGCCCAGATCCGAGACCCGGCCGTGTGATGCGGCAGTTTCCAGTGGCCCGGCTGCGGCAGCCCTGCCCCTCTGTGCGGCGTCTCACCTCCATCCAGATGGGCCTCATGAGACACACCAACTCCTATTCACCCCTCGACACCCTGCTCAAATATCCCTCCTGTTACGTTTCCAGGGCGGTGACTCGTGCCCTGCTCTGTGCCTCCTCCCGCAGTCTCGCGTACCTTTCTCTGCCTGAGCGCGCCGGTGTGCCGCCACCGCGCTCGGCCTGCTGCCTGGGCATGGGGTCCACCGCAGGCGGGCTGGGGCTCATTCCTTCCATGTCTCCCCGTGCTCAGGAAATGTGGGGCGGCTGTCCTGTGCCCACTGCCCCATACCCGGTCCCCCACTCGGCCTGGTTTGGGGGTTCTCCCGTCTTCAGCGCCCCAGGGTGGGCGTGGTGCTGCTTCAGGGGTGCTCTGCGGTCACTCTGGGGGTGCCCGCCCCTGCGGGGGACATGCTGGTCCCAGGCCCAGGAGGCCCTTGGCCTTCTCCCTTCCCGGAGCTTGCAGGGCATGAGGGGGCTTGTCCCTGACGCAGGTTTCTGTGCCTCGGTTTCCCCTTTGTGAAATGGGGGCACTCCTATCTGTCTTCCCTCATGCTTACCTGTCGTTTAAATTCTAATGACATGTGCGGTGTGCCCGGTGCTCGGCGCATAGTAGGTGCTCCGTAGAATGCTAACCACTGTAGTAATCGTTTGCCCCTGACGTCCGGCCCCAGCCACGCCTCGAGGCTCGTGCCGCCTCTGCATGCGGGCGCGAGCACGCTCCGCCCTCGGGTGGGCCGGGCCAGCTCCAGGCGGAGGTGGGTCTAGGTGCCAGCTTGAGCCCACCCACGAGCCTCGGCCTGGCGGGGCTCCTGGAGAAGGAGCCGCCTCGGCCTGCGGGCAGCACCACTGCCCAAGCTCTGGTCACCCTCCCGCACGTCTGGGTTTGGGGCTGGGTTCCCCACGAGTAGGGGCCCTGCCGAGCACTGGGCTCCCCGTGCGCGGGCCCTCCCAGGAGGGCTGGGCGCAGTTGGGCCCCCGCTGTGGGCTCCATCCCCCCAGGCTCGGCCCGCCTGCCCCCAACCCCCACCCCGACACCCGGCTGGCCCCGGCTGCCTTCCAGGCCTCCCCTGAGCAGGCCCTGGTGGTCCCAGGCGGGGGTGGCCGGTCTGGCCGGGGCACAATGTCTGCCTTCACGGGGAGCCCCGAGCGGGGGCCTGAGGTCCGGCCGTGGAGCTGGCGGCCACAGGCCCTTCCTGCCACATGTTCCCGTTTCCCTAATAAGTCCTTGGTTGTGCTGGGGGGAGGCGGGAGGCCCTGGGCAGCCCAGCAATAATCACATGATTGTGAAACGCAGGAATCCTAGAAAGGGTGTCTCTGAGCGCCTGCCTCCCCTCCCCCTCCTCGTCCTCCCCCCCTCCTCCCCCTCCCCCTCCCCCTCCCCCGCTGGCTGACCAGCTCAGGGTAACTGTAGACAGCGCAGCCACTCCCGGCCGGCTTCCAGGGCGCAGAGGCATGTGGGCCTGGCAGTGTGGCCGCTCTGCCCGCCCTGGGGCAGCCAGGCGCGGGGGACTCGGCTAGAATCGACACCTGGTGGGCTCACCGTGGCCTTGGCGGGGGTATGGGCCCCTCTGTGGCTTTTTCCCAGCCTGGGGGGCCTTGGGGAGTCGGCCCCCGCGCCCCGGGGGCGTGCTGGGCTGGGCAGGTGCCCGCGTCCCGGGAAGCTCTATTTATAATCTTATAATCTGTTCTGTTTTTCTGTTTTGTGTTTCCCGTCTCTCCGTCCTCTCTGGCGCTGCAGAAGAAGGCCGAGGCCGCACACCGCATTCTGGAAGGCCTGGGGCCCCAGGTGGAGCTGGTGAGCGGGGCGGTGGGGGCGGGCGCGCGCAGGTGGGCGGGCGCAGGTGGGCGTGTGTGGCAGGAGGAGGAAGTTGCCTCTTGCCAGGCGCTGCCCGGTGGCTGTCGTGGGAGGAGGCAGGAAGTGCACCTCCCGATAAGGGCCGGAGCGATGCGTGCAGGAGGAGCATGCCCGCCGTCCAGCAGGTCGAGCTCAGCGTGCAGCCGGGCCCCCGGGCCAGAGGACCCGGTTCCACTCCTGGGGCTGTTGCTTGACGGCTGTGTGACCCAGGCAGGTCTCTTAACCTCTCTGTGCTTCTGTTTCCTCGCCTGCGAAGTGGGAGTGTTAATAGCACCTCCCGCCCCCCGGTGGCAGCGAGGAGCTGCTGGGTTGCTTTACCTGCGGCGTCAGGTGCAGCGTCTGCTGCGCTGGTGGGGCTGTCACCCCGGCCAGTGTCACCGCGGCCAGTCCCACTGCGCTGTGGGAAGACCTTGTGTCGTGGCAGGGCCGGGAGGCGGAACCCGGGCCCCCTGGAGCCCCCGGGCTGGGGTGGGCGGCCCCCGAGCGCCGGCTGGAGCCCCTGCATGCCCGGCACCCGTCGGCCCCCCGCTGAGCTGGGGGCCACGGTGCCTTACGTGGCGTGGCGGGCAGCGTGGCGGGCATGGCCAGCCCGTGTGTGCGGCGGGGTGGGGTCCCCGTGCCCGTGGGGTCGGGTGTGTGTGAGTGCTGCCGGGTCCAGAGACAGCCCCGCGCCATGGGGCCTCGCTGGACACTCGGCTCGCCCGGCGGCCTCTGGAAGGGGCTTGCCTCCCGACCGCAGTTGTCATCGGTGACGCGGTGACGCCACAGCGCCTGCTCTGTGGGCCTTTGCGGGGTTGGGGGCCCGGGCTGAGCAGCTGGGAGGGCGGAGCTGCCCGGAGCTCCTGCAGCGAGAAGCCTGTCTGTCTGCTGGGGCCTGGCTGGAGCAGGGCCGGGCAGGTGGCAGGCCCCGGCCCCGCCCCACTCGGCTCTGCCCGACTCCAGACTCCAGCCTCGGCTGGGCCGGGCTCCGGAGTCCTGGGCAGTCCCAGCCGCCGCCGCCGTCCTGGTTCCAGCGGCTTCGCTGAGCTGAGCTTTGACCGCAGGCCCCGCCCTTCGCCCCCTGGGCGTGTGCAGCTCAGCAAGGTTCAGTGTGTTCCAGTGTGCGCAGCTGTTGCGGTTGGTTCTAGAACATTCTCATCGTCCTAGAGAGAAGCGTTTCTGTATGTGTGGATTTGTCTGTTTCCGGGCCTTTCCTGCGAGTGGCATCGCATGCGGGTGGGCTTTTGTGTCTGGCTTTTTGCGCGCCGCATCGTGTTTTCAGGGTTCCCCCACGTGGTCCTGCCGCGTGATTTTTAACAGCTGAGCAGTGGACCTGCCGCGTGGACCTGCTTCATGGTCCTGCCACGTGGTCTGGACGGTGGCTGGTGCTCATGTTTCAGCTGTTGCGAGACACTGCCGCCCTGCAGGGAGCCGGGTCCCTGGGGGTACACCGTGAGGGGTCACCGTGAGGGGTCACCGGGAGGGGTCCACTGGGAGGGGTCCACCGTGAGGGGTCCACCGGGAGGGGTCACCAAGAGGGGTCACCGGGAGGGGTCCACTGGGAGGGGTACACCGGGAGGGGTACACCGGGAGGGGCCACCAGGAGGGGCCACCGGGTCTTGTGTGAGCTCCGTGCCGCGGCCCAGCGGCTCCCACAGTGGCTGTTCGGTGTCCCTCCGTGTCCCATGGTCAGCCGAGCAGGGAAGGCAGACTGGACGTCAGGCTCAGCCATTCCGCACTCTGGGGCCCAGCCGGCGCAGGAGCGGGCGGGGGGCGTGCGTGGCAGCCCAACCTCTCTGCCGCTTGAGTCATCTGCTTCCTTCCTGCTCGGGTGTTATTTTAGGAGCCTGGTGTCACCAGAGAGGCCGGGCCTGCGCCCGTCTGCTGGCGTGGCCGCCGCCGCCAGGTCTCCACTAGCCGTGGTGGGGTGGGGTGGGGTGGGGTGGGGTGGGGTAGGCCCCTTCCCAGACCCTCCTGTGCCCTCTCAGGCCACGCGTGCTCTCTGCTGGGGCCCCATCTGGTGTCCCCCCGCTCTTGCTCCCTCCCCCTGCACCTGTTTCAGCGGAGGAGACCGGCCTCGAGGGGGCCAGAGACAGGCCCAGGGCTATGGGGGGGTGTCCCCGCCTGGAGTCACATCCCCGGCGGGAGGGGGAGCCCCGTGAGACCGTGCGTGGTGGGGTGGCTAGGTCCCCGCGGCTCGCCCCGGGCGTAGATGTCGCCTCATGGCCGCCATGCTGGGCCGGGAACCAACCGCCTGGCGACGTGCGTGTAGCCCCTCTGCCGGGGGGGGGGGCTGTCTCTGTCCGTGGCACACCTGCAGGGCACGGCCCCTCCCTCCCCACCCCTTCTTGCCCTCCAACATGGCACAGGACTGTTGCCACGGCGACGGGCAGCATCCCCTCCCGCCTGCCGCCCTCCCAGGTCTCTGCCTCCGGGAGGGGCAGGTGGGGCCTGGGGGGGGTCCCCTCTGCCCACTCCCCGGATCTTGAGTCCTCACGGCCTCCCCTGAGAAGCCCCTCGCCAGAGGCCACCCTGAGTTGCAGGTGGCCCCATCCCCTTGTCCTCGAGCAGGGCCGGAGGCCACAGAGGGGAGTAACCGGCTCTGTGGGAGGTGGGCTGGGGCTGGCCAGGCCCCACGTTCTGCTGTCATGGCTGCAGAAGCCGTGGCCGCAGCCGGTGCCCAGAGCCCGAGCCCGTGAGCAACGCCCACTCGCGCCGGGCTGTGCTTTATCGGCACGCGGGGGCCAGAGTCGCCGGTCCTGGGCAGGCGTCTCGAGGGGCCCCTTGCCGTTCCCGAGAGGAGGACTGGAGCGGGGGCACCCTATCCCCCGCTCCCCGGGAAGTTCTGCAGCGAGTCTGACCGCGGGCCCTCCTGCTCCACTGCCCACTCTGCCTCTGTCCACTCCCCACGTGGGGGTGGGGCTCTCCCCCGTTTCCTGAGCTCCTGGGGGCCACCAGACCCACATGGGAGGGACGGTTCCCACCTGCGCAGGGTGACATCTGTCCCCAGGAGAGTACTGAGCTTGGAGCTGGCACTTCCGGAGCCCACGGTGAGCTGCCACGGCGGCTGGGGCCGTGGGGAGGAAGCTGCTGGCGGAGGCCGTCCTCGAGCCCACCCGCTGCCCGGCCTGCGGCCCTCCCTGTGGCGGGGTGGGGTCTGCCATCCTCGCGCCCACCCGCTGCCCGGCCTGCGGGCCCTCCCTGTGGCGGGGTGGGGTCTGCCGTCCTCGCGCCCACCCGCTGCCCGGCCTGCGGCCCTCCCTGGGGCGGGGTGGGGTCTGCCGTCCTCGCGCCCACCCGCTGCCCGGCCTGCGGGCCCTCCCTGGGGCGGGGTGGGGTCTGCCGTCCTTGAGCCCACCTGCTGCCTGGCCTGCGGCCCTCCCTGGGGCAGGGTGGGGTCTGCAGTCCTGCTGCTGGTGGCTCCCCTGCCCTGGGGTCACGGGTGGTGGGAGGCGTGTCCAGCACCTTCCCCAGCGCGGAGCCTCGTGTGCCCCTTCCCTCCACGAGGCCCCGCCCGCGGCCGCAGGGCTCCGCGGCTCCGTACTCGCCGTTCCGCCTGACCCTCACGCTGTGCCTGCTCCTCCCACCATGGCCACCCATGGCTGCCCGGGGCTCCTGCCGCATGTGTGGCGTGAGAGGGAAACACGGACACACGGACACACACACAGGGAGCAGGGCAGACAGACAGACACACACACACGGAGCCGGATAGGCAGACACTCGTGTGGGGAGACACAGGCAGAGCGGGGCGGTCCCTCCTCTGGTGCTGGGTGGAGAGACGGGGCTCTCGCTCAAACTCATCTCTTCCCAGCGGGGGACAGATGCGTTAGCTTCTTCAGGACTCAGTTTCCCCATCAGTACACTAGGGATGAGACTTGCATCAGTCAGCCACTGCTGCCCGACAAAGCAGCCATCCACCTCCCCTCAGCGGCCTGGAAGCTGACCGAGCGTGTCTGTGGACGCGGCCCTGCTCACGCCTGCGTGCTCGGCCAGGGCCGGGCGGCGGTGGGGGTCCCAGCTCCTCGGGACAGGGCGGCGGGGGTCCTGGCTCAGTGCTGCCCCGCCCATGCTGGCTCCTGGCGCCTCCAAGGGCCGGGCCGGGCGAGCTCTCCAAGCCCGCAGTCTCCCTGAGTTTGCAGCTGCCCCGGTGGCCGCGGCAAGGGCACGCTGGGTTTGGGGCGGTGTTGCTAGCCAGTCTCTGTACCTGTTGCCCCATCCCACGAGCCCGAGACAGGGACGAGCCCGGGTTACGCGGGGCCCAGCGGGCAGTGTCAAAACCGGATCCGAACCCAGCTGTGCCCTGGGTCCCTCACCATGGCACTGCCCTCTGGGATGGGACCCCGGCCGCCAGCTGGGCCCTGACCTGTCACACGTGCTGAGACACGGTTGTTCCCCTCGTGCCCGTGTCATAGCGTGTCCTTGGTGACGCATCCATGTTTCACAGCCGTGCCGTGTTCACGGTGGCAGCGAGCCCCACTCCCTGCACTCCCCCCTCCGGCGGCGGGCGCTGGGCAGCTCCGGCGAGCCGGGAGGTCACCAGGGCGCAGGGACACTGCCGTGCCCTTCCCCCGTGGGGCACCGCGCTCCTTGGGGCGTCTGCGTTGGGGGTGGGGACCTCCTCCTTGTTCACCAGGTGCCACCTGCTTGCTCCCTGGAGCATGTGGCCCCGCCCCCGTGTTCTCACCGGCTGCGAGCCAGTCTTCCCGTCACCTACACCGACACTCGGCACCATTTGACGTTTTCGTCTTTTGCCAGGGGGGGGGGGGGGGCAGCGTCTGAGACACGGGTTCCACGTGCCGGGAAGCGAAGCGGCGTTGTGCGTTCAGTGGCCGCAGCCAACCTGACGTGTGTCCCTTGTCTCTGGGCCGTGGTCACTGCCAGATGTCCCCGCAGCAGCCATGACTGCCTTGGGGAGGGGGTGGTCACGGTGCCCACAGCCGTGCCGGGGTGGCCGGTCACACACAGCCTGTCCCTGGACGGGGATGGGCGCTGGCGCCTGCTGTCCCGTATCATGTCTGCTGGCAGCCGGTCACTCGGCCCTGCACATGGCTCCATGGTGCCGAGGTGGCCCGGGGCTGGGGCTCTGCGGTGGCCGGGGGTGGTGGGCGGTGGCCGGCCGGGGGCCAGCTGCCCACACTCAGGCCGGGCCCTGACCTGCTTCTCCTCCCTTTGCAGCCGCTGTACAACCAGCCCTCCGACACCCGGCAGTACCATGAGAACATCAAAATGTGAGTACGGCCGGCTGTGCCGGTGAGGGTGGGGACAGGCTCGCGGTGGCCGGGGCTGGACGTGACTCCCTGCTCCCGTTGGGGCCCCCGGCCAGGCCCCGGTGCTGGAGGAGGGACAGAGGGGGCAGAGTTTGGGCAGGATTCTAGGCCGGGTGGGGCCCAGGGTGGGACCAGAGCAGGCGCTGGGGTGGCGAGGGTGCCGCGGCGGGCAGGGCCGGACAGCAGGGTCAGGGCTGCAGCCGTGTCCTGTCAGGGCAGGAGGGCGCCGGCCCAATGGTGGGCAGTGGCCCGTGCTGTGGGCTCGGGCGTGAGTGTGTTTGGGGGTGGCCTTGGGTGTGCTCGGCGAGGTCCCTTGGGGCCCAGGCCCCCTGGGGCAGCTGGGAGCACACATCCCACCTAGAGGTTTGGAGGTGGCTGATGGGCCTTTTCCCAGGTGGATACTAGGAGGAAAAGGCTGTCAGCTAAGTGCCACTTGCATTTGGGTGTGATGGGGGCCCAGGTCGCCAGAAACATTGGTCTTTAAGTGGGGTGCAAGGCATGGGACTGCCGGGTGCAAGGCATGGGCGGTGCGGCTGCTGGAAGGGGGCTGGCTTTTTCCTGGGATGCATTAACAGGAGCAGAGCCTCCTGGGCTGAGGAGGAGATGCTACCTCATGTTATCTAGGAACCCAAAAGGTAAAAGGGGCTGCCGATCTTGCCTCTTCAGGAGCACGTGGCCGTGAGCGTGGGCAGGGCGCTAGGGAGGAGAAGAGGATGTTGGGGATCATAGTCTGTGAGTGTTCAAGGTTCATTTTCGAGAGAGTGTACAGGCGCTAGAGGGTGACCTCGAGAGGAGGCGCTTGGTGGGCCCAGTGGGTAGTCTAGCCTGGTCTGATTGCCCGGGTTTTCCTGGGATAGAAGTGCAGAGAGCGTACGTGCGTGCGGTGGTGAGCTCCCCGTTCCCAGAGGCATGCAACCTGCCCCCTGATGGTTTTCAGGCGTCTGCTGGCGCTGGACTGGTTGGCAGGGAGGTCTCTTCTTCTGTGGTTTGTGGAGCTGCGTGACCAGTGCAAGCTCGGGGGAGCAACCGGGCCCCCTCCTGCGGTCGCCGTGCTGCGCGAGCGTCCTTGCGGCCAGGGCTCCCGTCCGGTTTCAGGAGCTTCTGCCGGAGACGTCTCATGGCAAGGCTGGCGCGGAGTCGCTCCCAGCACGGGCCCAGCACGGCCTGGTGGCCTGCTTTGTTGCCCAGGTCCCAGGTCCCATTGAGTCCAACAGTTTATTTTCCAGTCGGGCCACTCTAGTTTCTTCTGCAGCCTCCTGGGACCTGGCCCACTCCAGGACAGGGGAGGGGGCTGCAGGGGAGGGTGGGCGAGGGCATGAGGGGCACAGCCGGTTTAGGGGAGGAGGGTGGGACACTGTCCACTGAGCATGCACTCGTTCATCCACCTCTTCATGCACTCGTTCAGCCATCCCACGTTAGCTGAGCACCTGCTACCCGCCCGGCCCCGCTCTAGGCCCTGGGGACTCGGCCCAGGTTTTGTCTGGCAGTGAAGGCGGAAAATGAGCGAGCTCGGTAAATAAGGACCCGTCGGCTAATCTAACGCACTACGGATCGTAAGCGCGTTATGCCTTGATGTTCCGACTCGTGTTTTTCCTTTCCGACGTGGTCATTTTTGTGTTATCGTACTGGAAATTTCACAGAGGTTTCATCGCTTAAAGTGAGTGATATTTTTACGCTAAATAACGTGGATAATTTCGGGTAATAAAACAGCCGTAGACTCCAAACAGGGGAGGAGTGAGTGACCATACAGGCAACGCCAGCAAACGAGACACTGCCGCGCCTCTGCGTAGGTGCGCTAGGTTACACCGCACGCAGATGGGGCAGCGCCCGCTGCACATCCCGGTCTTCATCAGAGACCGGCTCTGGTCTCCTCGAGCTCATTGTGACCAAGTAACGACCTCACTGAATTTGTTGCGCTTCTAAATTGCACGTGAACGTGTTTACGTTTAAAACATGGAGGTGAATGATTAAGATTTCTAATACAGCAAATGGCCCATTTTACGTTAGAGAGATACATCTGTAAGTAAGTTACTCGAACAGATTTGGCCTTAGAACTGTAGGGTTTTTTTCTGTATTTTTCCACGACAGTCATCATCACTTCTACATTTTTAATCTGGATGTGCTCATCATTAAATCAGTGCGTTAGGAAAATTCTGTGCCTGCAGTAAACGGGGTGACAGGAGAGAAAAGGAGGGATGACTTCGGCCCGAGAGGTCGGGGCAGGATGTCACAGCCGAGCGGACGCGTGGAGGCTGAGCGGGGGCTGGCTGCATGGACTGCAGGGCGGGAGTGACCCAGGCGAGGCGGGGCGGGCAGTGCAAAGGCCCTGGGGCAGCGCCGGGCTGCAGGGATCTCCGAGGAGGCTGGGCAGGGGTGGGGAGGGCAGAGCCCAGCTCTCTCAGGGCTGTAAGGACTTTTGGGGTTTTATTGTCTGTGCCAGGGGAGGTGGTGATGAGGTTTATTCCAGGAAGTGATGTGGTCGGACAGTGGTTTTAGACGTTCACTCTGGCGGCCGCAGGGAGAGGGATTGGGGGTGGGGTGGGGACCTGGGGGCAATGGGGGATGGGTGCAGGAGGGACAAGGATGGGGAGGCTCAGCGGACGCCAAGGTGGGGGCCCGACAGCTGCGAGGATGGGGGCTTGGCCCGGGGCCAGGTCGGGGACCCCAGCGCTGGGCGCCGAGAGGCCAGGCCCCGTCCCTGTGTCTCCGCCGGGGCAGAGGGGTCTATTCCTTTTTAAGCAGCTTTGTGGAGGTGTGAGTCGCAGGATTGCAGCCCTGCAGGCTCTAGCCCTCCCCCGCCACCCCCACAGCCCCAGGGTCCCTGCCCTCGGCAGTGGCTGGGCGGCCTCTGGGCGCTAATGGGGGAGAGGGGGGAGGGGGCCTGGACAGACCTTCCCGCAGGGAGGTGTGTAGGTGCTGTGTGGCTCCCCCGGGCTCCGGAGGGGAGGAGCTCACAGCTGTTTATTTTGAGGACCTGGGGTGGGTGCAGGAGGGAGGACCTGGGGGCGGGGAGGACCTGGGGGCGGGCACAGGAGGGAGGCCTCACAGTGCTGCTAGGGGGAAGCAGCGTGTTCAGGCCAAGAGAGGGAGGAGGGGATTGTTAGGGAAAGGTCTGGGAATTCTCTGGAAGGTGGAAATCAGACTCTCAGAGTCATATTCCAGAGTGGACTCACGTCTGGATGAAGCAGAGCTAAGTGGTGTCGTTGTAGCTGCCAAGCGAGGTAGTGAGCGCCCCGTCATTGGGAGGTGTGCAAGCTGCAGGTGGATGATACTCAGGGATGCTCAGAGCTCAGGAAGCTGCGGTGTGCCTTGTACTCCCGGTTGGCCCTGATGTTCCGTGACCCTCATGTGCCAGACTTCAGACATGCCGCGTGCCCAGTGCTGGGGCGCGGGAAGAGAGGCCTGTTGCCGGCCCAGCGCCACCGGGTGGCTGGACATGGGGTCTCAGGCCTCACTGACCGTGGCTCGTTCTGCCTAGCTGTGTGTCCCTGCAGCAAGTCACTGCTCTCTGTGCCTCAGTTTCCCCATCTGTAAGATGGAAGCAGTGATGGCCCATGCCCGAGGGTTCGTGGAGGCGACACGCCGCACGCTGAGACCAGTGCTGGCGCGGAGAGCACACTGTGTTTTCCGTTTGTCTTACTCTGATCTGTAGAGACGAAGACTCCCTCCTTCCTTCTTCCTTTCCTTTCCTTTCCTTTCCTTTTTTCCTTTCCTTTCCTTTCCTTTCCTTTCCTTTCCTTTCCTTTCTTTCTTTCCTTCCTTTTTCCTTTTTTTTCTTTTTCCTTTTTCCTTTTTCCTTTCCTTCCGCCAGGCGCAGTCCGGGCTGGGGGGCGCGGTGACCAGGCCTGACGCTGCAGTGGGCAGGCAGGTGACACATAAGCATGAGGGTACCTAGGGGCAGCAGCGCTGGGCACGGTGGGGACAGGAGGCATCGCAGCCGGGGAGGGGGCGGGCACACGGCTCCCGCTGCTGTCATTGCGGCCAGGCGGGAGGTCGTCCCCTCCCTGGGGACCTTGCCCTGTGGCCGCTTCAATTCCTCCTGCCAGCGTGCGGCTGCGGGCGAGACTTAATTTCACGCTTGACTTCCTGCGGTGCGCCGATTCAGAGCTGGAGTCACCAGCACCCTCCCCCGCTGCCCTCCCTCTGCCGCCCGCCCTGAGTGGGGACCCACCCCTGAGTGGGACCCGCCCCGAGTGGGACCCCTGCCCCCGATGGGCGCCCGCCCCTGAGTGGGCCCCACCACCGCGTGGACCGCCGAGTGACGCCCTGCCCCCGAGTGGGACGCCCTGCCCCGAAGTGGGGCCCACCCCCGAGTGGGCCCTGCCCCTGAGTGGACCCCTGCCCCCGAGTGGGACCCCCCGCCCCCGAAAAAGTGGGAACCCCCTGCCCCGCGAGTGGGACCCCCCCGATTTGGGCCCACACCCGAGTGCCTGCCCCGAGTGGGAACCCCTTCATCCCCGAGTAGACCCGCCCCTGAGTGGGACCCGCCCCCAGTGGTCCCCCCAGTGGGCCCCGCCCCGAGTGGGGGCGGCGAAGGGGTGCAGGACTTGGGTGCAGAGGCAGGGGCCGTGCTCCCCCCCCATGTCCGTTTTTCTCGTCTCGCAGCCCGCTTTCTCCCTTCTCCTGCCTCGGTGGGGTTGGTGATGGGAAGCCTCCGTCCTGGGGACGTCCAGGCGGGGAAGGAAAGGTGACGAGTCACGACCCAGGTCACCGGCTACGCGTCTCTGGGGTCTCACTCAGGAGGTTCAGAGAAGTCAGGTGACTTCCCCCAGACCAGGCCTCTCTGCGTTTCCATCCTGCTTCCTCTCCAGGGTCTGTGGTCGAGGCCGCCCTCCCCCGGGTGGCCTTGACAAGTCACAGCACCTTGCTTGTCAGCGAGGTGGCCGCTTTGCTCGGCATGTGGCCAGCAGGAGGTTTCAGACCGTCAGTTGCCTAGTGACCCAGTGACTCTCCCCGGGGCCTTCTGCCCTCCCCGAACTCACCACCACCCCGCACCTCCCTGGGACCCAGCGCTCTGCCCGTTTCCCTCGGCCCACCCTCAGCTCAAACGGCCCTTCCTCCGGGAATGCTCCCCGGATTGCCCCGAGCTTTCCTTTTCCAGGTCCCTATGGGCCCCCGGGCCCGTCCCACGTGAGGTGCAGCTCCTGGCACAGTCATGGGATCCGTCCCTCACCCTCCCTGGCAGGTGATGAGGCCCGTACTTCATTACGGGTGCGCTTCTCTGCACCCCGACTTCTCCAGGGGGCTGCAGGTGCCCCCTGCACCTCACCAGTGCCCCTCCAGCCCACGCATCGCACCTCGGCTTTGCGGGCCCCCCAGAGCCCCCAGAAGCCGGTGCCTTACTCTCCTCGGCAGCAGCTCGGCAGAAAGCGTCAGCCTGTTTGTGTCTCTGTCGCTGAAACACACGGGGTGGGAGTTTGCCGCCGGCAGGCAGAGGGGCCACCGGCGGGAGGGGTGCCTGGGGGGGGGCTGCCTGCAGAGCGGTGAGGGCGGTGGCCTCTCGCCGAGCCGTGACAGGTACGGGGACGACATGGCAGGTGGTGTCCCCTGGGTCGCTGGCCGCAGGGGCGTCTGCGTGGCCTCCCCGTCACCTTGCGGGACCCTCCCGTGCTCTGCCCGTGGAGCGAGCCCCGAGCCCAGCCCTGCTTCCAGGCAAGCCTGGCCTCCCGGAGGGAGGGACAGCAGGGCCCGTGACGCGGCTGGCGCGCCACTGCTGTGCGCGGGTACCTGCGGGCTTGGAGGTGGCGCTCCCGTTTCTCCTTAAAATTTGCCAGTGAGTTCGCTGTCGCCTGCGGTCACCGCTGGGCGCTGCTGCCGGGGCTCCGCCTCCCTCCCTCCTTGCACGTCTCTTCCCTGGGGCTCTAGAAGGAAGGTTGTTCCTTCTCCCGTTTGTTTGTTTGCCCACGTCCATCTGTGTCGACCCGTGGCGTGTGCTTTATCCCGTGGGCTGTGATCTGGTCCCGGTGTTACTTCTTTTGTTGTATGTGTTGTTCCAGCTCCGGCAGGTGGAAACTTTCAGGTGGCACCTGCGTCCTTTCGATTGCTTTTTGTTTTTTTCGGCGGCTCTTAAAGTCCCTCTGGAACCAGCCGTGTATGTCCGGGAAGCCCTAGTTTCCCGCGCTGGAGAGCGGCTGAGACGCCGAGGTCTGGGTGCGGGGCGCTCGGCGCCGCCGGGCTGTCGCCGCCTGTCTGCTCCCTGCGGCCCAGAGCCTCGCTGGGCCCAGACTCGGGCCCTGCCAGTCGTGCCCGGCCTCCCCTCCGCCCTCCGCCCTCCCCGGCATTCTCCGGCTACGGGGCGGCTCGCTGTCTGTTCCTCAAGCACGAGAGCCAGCTCCGGCCTCGGCCTTTGCTCGTGGGGCTCTGCCTGGAGCGCTTCCCTTCGAGCCTTTGCACAGCCGGGTCCTCTGTGGTGCGGCTCTGGGCTCCGCGCCTCGGGGTGGGGGGGCTCGGCTCTGCGCCGCCGCCGCACCTGCAAGAGCCACACAGCCCCCGCCACGCTCTGGCCCGCCACCTGCCTCAGCTCCCGGGTCTGGAATCTTCTTGCTCACTGTCAGTGTGGCCGCCGCTGAGTCTCCCTCACGCGGTCGCTGAGTAACCAAGGAGATGCACGCGTGATGCGCGGGTCCCACGTGCCAGATGGGGAAACTGAGACTCGGAGAGCCCCTGAGGTCTGCTCAGAGACACGCTGTGGTGTGACCAGGTCCCAGGGCCTAGGCTGCAGGCCGAGGACGCCCCCGGCCGTGCTGGCCGGGTGGGGGCGGCGGTTGACGTAGGTGGCACGGCCTCTGGGCGGGGCAGGGCCTGAGTTTGGCTCCAGGCCTTTTGGGGGTGGTCCCCCCTTTTCCTCCTCCCAGGGCGGGGCCTGGGGGTGACCCGCAGTCACGACACCTCCGGTGGCCTGTGAGCTTTTTGTGGGGTTTGGACGATGCCGAGAATGTCAAAAAGTTGGGGAGCCCCTTCCCGAGAAGTTGCCGCCATCGCAGAGCCTGGACTGGGGGCAGGTTCAGGGCGAGGGGCTCCCGAGGCCTGTCTGTGGCCCCGGCGCCCGCCGTCTGCAGAGGCTCAGGGCGGGGCCCGGGTGGGGCGGGGAGGGCACACACGGGTCGCTCTGGGTCCACATGTCTCCCGTCCCCTGAGAGCCGGCCAAGGCCGCCCGGGCGCTCGCTCTGTGTGCGATGCCGACGTGGCTGACCTGCGTTTGCTGTCCCCTCCCTCGCAGAAACCAGGCGATGCGGAAGAAGCTGATCCTGTACTTCAAGAGGAGGAACCACGCCCGAAAGCAATGGGTACGTCTCGCCCGCGCGTCCTCTCGGCCACCTAGGCCGCCCTGCCGAGGGCTGCCTTTCTGTGGCCGGCCTGCGACCGAGGCCAGGGTGGGCAAGGGATGCCCAGGGCACAGTGGTGGCAGGGGGTGGGGCGGGGATGGGGCGGGGGCCAGGAGTGGGGGGGTCGGGGGTGGACCGGGGGCTGGGGGTGGGGGCTCTGCGGCCCCGTGTCCAGCCGGGAAGGAGAGAAAGCAGAACGTCGGCTCAGAAAATCGGTGGTCAGACACCGTCAGAGGGCCCGCGTGACTCCTCGGGCAGACAGGAAGGAGGGGTTTGGGGTGAGCTCGAGAGACTGGGGGCATCCCGTGTCCAGCCTCGGGAGGAGGAGGGCGTGGACAGCAGGAGGCCCCCTCACCCGCGTGGGTGGGCTCTGAGAGAACACATGCAGCTGCAGAGCAGGGTGGCCGTGCACGGGGAGATGAGGGCTGCGTGACGGAGGGGAGTCACCCGTTAGTATTCTTTCGGCTGCCAGGGGAAGAAGAGCTGACTCGGGTGGGCTGGCATGGAGAGGAACTGGCTGGGAAAGTCCATCGGGGTGGACTTCAGGAGTGGTTCGATCAGGTTGCAGCTTCATTTGCATGCGGGCTTTTCAACTCTGTGTTAGAACACAGGCAGAATGGTTGCCACCGTGGTCCCCAAGTCCCCGCAACAGCAGTGACTCTGCCGCAGCCAGAGGGAGCTACCCTCTCTCAGACTGTCTCACCAAAGCCCTGGGTGGGCCGGGCGGGGTGTGTGCCCCTCTGAACCTGACTGATGCCAGGGAGATGGGATCTCGCTGATGGGCTGTGGCTGCCCCGCCTTGTCTAGAGCCGGGGTGACGTCATCGGCTCCGCCCAAGCCACAGGCTGCTAGGAGATGGCTGGAGGGCGGGGCAGGGGACAGACTTGGGAGGGCCTGGAAGGTTCTCGGGGGTGGGACGCCCTGGATGGGGCTGGTGGGATCGAGGGATGCTTGGGCAGGAGAAGCAGCAAAGGCTGGTCCAGCGATGGTTTCTGTGGGGAGGGGTGGGGGCGAGGGGCCCCTCCCACCGGCAGCCCTGGCCCTCCGCATCCTCCCTCGGGCCAGGTCTGTGGGGGCTGGATCAGTCATGGGCAGTGCGTGTAGGTCTGCGGTATGCAGTAGGAGATGACTAAGTGCTGCTCGAACCCAGACGGAGGGGAATGAGGAGCGGTGGCGAGGTGGAGGGTGTCAGCTGCCGTTCCCGTGTGGGCTCAGAGCTGCCCAGACGTGTGGGGGTCCCTTGGCCCCATCCCTGCCCCATCCCTGGGCCCAGGCCTCAGTGGGGCCCTAAAGAGAGGAGAAGCTTCTGGACGGGCTGCAGGCTTGCAGGCCGTGCTCCGGACCCAGGGCCCGGGGTGAGGATGAGGAGCAGCGGGGTGCCTGGGCTTGCCTGGCGCAGCGTCCTGGGGGCACCCCACCCTGACGGGCCGACGCCCCGTCCTGTTTGTGCGCTGAGGCGTGTTCACTGTGGGGACGCAGGCGGTGAACAGCCCAGGCCGGAGTGGCCAGAAGGGCCCGGCCGCGTGCAGATCTGAGGGTCACGGTGTTAGTCCAAGGGCGCTGCAAGTGCAAAGGCCCCGGGGTAGGAAGCAGCTGGGGGTCACCTGGGGCAGGACGCGCAGGTCAAGGGAGCGAGGTCACCTGGAAATATCGGCCCCTGAGCTAGGATGGAACGTCTAGGTTTTATTCTGAGCGTAGCGGGACATCTGATTCATTCTTAATTAACGTCTCAGCAAAGAACACAAAGTCTCAGTCTGAGAGTCTTCTGTCGCACGCAAGGGTACGACAAGCACCTGTGGACACCCCTCAGGAGGCTCAGCCCTGGCTGAAGTCCCCGCGTTTGCTCTGCGTATCTTATGGCCGCTTGCTGTCGGGCTGGTGGGAACCAGGGGCGGCGGCCAGAACCCCTCACCCCTGTCTCCTGCCGGGAAGGGGACTGTCACTGTCACACCTGACAGTGACTTGCAGTTGGCCCTGACCCTCCAGCCCCGCTGACCTGCTGCGGGTAGGGGTGGAGCAGCCACGGGAAGGAGGGAGGGAGGGAGGGAAGGTCTGATTTACATTTTAAAAGGATCCTGCTGGGCTGCTGCAGAGGCTGGGGGTGGAGCTGGGCATGTGGGAATCTAACAATCTCCAAGGGCTCCTTGAGGCGTGTGTGGAGGGGACTTCGGCTTGTTTAAAGACAGGGAAGAGGCAGGCAGAAACCGGGGCCCTCTAAGAAATTCGGGATGGCTCCGTGGCCACGCTGAGCTCACCCGGGAGAGCCCTTTGAGCACGCAGGCGCGTGGGGCCGTCCTGTTCTTGTACGATGTGCCAAAGCCCTTGACTGACCTCGCCGGTTTTTTGGCAAAGCCTGGGAGGGGCTTGGCCAAGACCCCGGATCCGCACCCCCCCCCAGTCAGACCCCCTCTTAAATGGGGGGGGGCAGCCCTTAGCAGGTTCCTGGGACCCGCATTTTCCCAGAGAGCGGGGGCTTGTCCCCACCACCCCCTGCCCCCAGGCCTGCCCCCGCCCTGCTGGGAAGCTGAGCTCAGCCCCCGGGAGGCCAGTAGGGCCTGGACCGGGTCCCCCACACCCTGTGGTCCCAGGGACGTGTCCCCCGTCCCTGTTCCTTCCCCTGGCAGCATCCAGCGCAGCACACGCTGACCAGGCCGGTGTGTGGGAGGGAGGGGATTGAGGGAGGGAGGGATCTCACCCCCCCGCCGGTGGGTCCAACTTTTTGGAAAACCCCAACGAGCAGCTTCACATCCAGCATGGCGGACACAGGCATGCTGACAGCAGGTGGCACTGTGGTTAGACCTGCAGAGGGACTTCCTTGTCCGGGAAGAGGGCAGAGCACAGTGCTTGTGGCCATGCAGGTGGCTGGACGTCCCTCAGGGACACTTGTGCGGGGCTGCCTGTGCTGGGCCGACGCTCCAGCCAGAGCGGGGACGTCTTGTGGGCGCCCTGCAGGCCCTCCGTGGGCCCGTGGGCAGACCGAGGCCCCCGCTGGCCAGGGGCCCTGCCGTCCCGGTCACCGCGTGACTGTCCCCTGCTGGGTTCGTGGGGAGCTTCTCTCACCCTTCGCCTGCAGCGTGGAGGTGCGCTCCATCGGCTGCCGGGCCCTGGAGGCGTGGCCGGGAGGACTGGCTCTGAACTCCCAGTCCTCCTCCCTCTGTGACTCCTGCCAGCCCGCCGTGGAGGCCGGCCTCCCTAGAGGAGTCGGGGGTCGAGTGTCCGTGTCCCTCAGGAGGGGAGCCCGCCGGTCGTCCCTCAGGAGGGGAGCCCGCCGGTCGTCCCCAGGGCCCGGCCTGCCCGTGTCGTGCGTGGCTGCGCCTGTCTGTGCCCGACGGCCTGGGCGCAGAGCGTGCCCGGTGTGGGGTGCAGGAGCCGCGCCGCCCGCTCACCCCTGCCCCGCGTGCCGCCAGGAGCAGAAGTTCTGCCAGCGCTATGACCAGCTCATGGAGGCCTGGGAGAAGAAGGTGGAGCGCATCGAGAACAACCCGCGGCGCCGGGCCAAGGAGAGCAAGGTGCGCGAGTACTACGAGAAGCAGTTCCCCGAGATCCGCAAGCAGCGCGAGCTGCAGGAGCGCATGCAGAGGTGAGCCGGCGTCCTGCGTCCCCGTCCCCTGTCCCCAGGAGGGGCCCTGCCAGGCGCAACAGAACAGCGCGCAGGGGCCCACGCCGGGGGCCTTGCTTGCGCCACCCGCAGCCCACTGGGCCTGGCACTTGGGCGCGTCCACAAGACGCTTCTGGGGGCGTACTTCCTGCCCCTCGTTCCTGGAGGGGCTGGGGCCCCGGGCGGCGGTGGGAGGTCCCTGCGTGGGGTGAGGGGAGGGGCCCGGCGTGGAAGCCGGAACCAGGCGCTCCTGTGGCGGTGGCGTGAGAGCCTGCATGGGCAGGTGCGTGGCCCACGGCAGGTGGCTGCGGTTTTGTCCGTTTCTCTCACTGCACGGACGAGGTGACCATTAGTCGTAATAACGGCTTTTGTCTTTCCCTGAACTTCTTACGACTGTACATCACTGAATTCCTCCCAGCAGCCCTAGGGAGCGTCTGGCTGCTGCTTTTTTTTGTCCTCATATTGCAGGGGAGGAAACTGAGGCACAGGCAGTGGCCCTTTGCCCCTGGGCTGAAGAGGCAGAGCTGGGATTTGAACCCAGGCCTTTGTGGCTGGGCTTTTCAGGGTGTTTCAGGAGGGAATAAGGGGCTGAGGGCTGAGCCCCAAGGCCCCGGGGTTGGGCGGGTCCTGTGCCTGCATGGGGCTACGTGTCCTGCCCGGACTCCTCGGCCTGAGGCCTGGTCCCTGCCCGGTCGCCCTCCCGGCCTCGGGGAGGCTGTGGCTCAGGCCTGTGCCAGCGGGCTCGTGCGGAAAGGCAGGGCCTGAGTGTGTCCCTCTGGCCCCCAGCAGGGTGGGGCAGCGCGGCAGCGGCCTCTCCATGCCGGCCGCCCGCAGCGAGCACGAGGTGTCCGAGATCATTGACGGCCTCTCCGAGCAGGAGGTGAGTGCCCGGCCCCGGCTCAGTGTCCCTCCTCCTCGTCCTCCTCGTCCCCTGCCGCAGGGGTGAGTGCGCTGCCCCGGCTCAGTGTCCCTTCCTCCTCTCCTCCTCGTCCCCTGCCGCAGGGGGTGAGTGCCCTGCCCCGGCTCAGTGTCCCTTCCTCCTGGCCTTTCCTTTTTTCTCTTTTTTTTCTCTCTCCTCCCTTTGCTCGCAGGTGTTGTGAAGTGGTCTCGTCCCGTAACTGGACTCACTGGCTTGTTTGTGTTTATACTAATATTGTCTTTCGTTTCTCAGCAGGAAACCAGCGTGGCCCATGGAGGCACCTGGCGACGGGCGGTCTCGGGAAGCCAGGGGCCGTCCCCGGGCGGACGTGGCGCGTGCAGGGGGGTGGCATGAGGCCGTGGAGAGGAGCCGCCTGGCAGGTGGGGCCGGGGTCACAGGGCCGCACGGTCCGCTATCCCCCCCCACGGGGGATAGCCTGGGACAGGACCCCGCCTCTCACGCTGAGTCCAGGAGCGCCGGGAGGTGCAGGTTCTAGGGTCAGCCTGGGGGCTCGGCGCCTGGCGGGAGCGTGCGGGGTGAAATGGAGAATCCCAGCACGCCTGCTGCCCCCCGCCGGGGCCCACTCTGGGGAACCTCAGCCCTCCTGGCTGGGGCACAGCCTCTGTTCCCCTGGGACCCCCAGGCCGCCCGGACCCGGGCTGTGGTCACCGGCGCCCAGAGGTGGCCAGGAAGCAGAGAGGCCGAGTTTTCTCCTGGGGAAGGGGCCGTACCGGCCAGTCCCCTACAAGCGTCCAGTGTCACTGTCCTCCGTCCCCTCTGTCCCCAAGCGGCAACCACGGGAGACACGGGGGGCACGTTGCTTCCTCCCTGGGGACTTTGGTCCTGGGAGAGCGTCTGTGCAGACGGGACTCCCGGTCTGGTGGCCGCAGCCGGTCCAGCCGAGCTGCGCATGGCCACTGACCCCAACGTTAACCACGATGAGAGGAAATTAAGCGTTGAATTTCTCGAGCCGCTTGTGCTTAGTGGCCCCCACCCTGGACAGAGCAGGTAGCGGCCCCCCATGGCGGCAGAAGCTTCCGTGGGGCGGCGGACCCGACGCTGGTTCCAGTCTCGGTTTCCTGCCCGGGTCACAGCTGCGCCGGGTGGAGTCAGGGTCTGCGTTTCCACCCAGTGCCTGCCTGACCCCGACGCAGGGCACTCAGAGACCGCCGGGCCGCTAAACTCTTTATTTTTCATTTTGAAACTTCTCACAACGACATTCTTGTCGCCAACGACCCCCAGTGGGCAGAAAGCAGGACTCAGAAAGCCGTTGCCCACGGTCACCAGGCCTCGACCCTGCGTGCTGGGCTCCGCGACCCAGTCTGGTTCGGCCCCTGGTCCTCCCACGCTGTGGCTTTGTGGACATGCGCCCCACGCACGTGGCCATGGGCTTAGGCTGACCTGGCGGCAGGTGGCTCTTGCCCGAGTGTGCCTGGCCTGAGCGCCGCAGGTGGGGGGGTCTGGGCCGATTGTCCCTCTCGCCCTCCGGTCCCCCCCACCCCAGGGACCGTCCCCCGGGTGCTGGCCTTGTGCGGACGCAGCTGCCAGGTTCCCCCAGGTGTGCAGGGTGCAGGTGGGAAGTGGAATCCAGGAGAGAAACTTCATCAGCCAGTCGGGGTGTCCCTAGGTTCCCAGGGGTGTGCGAGGGAGGGGGCTGGGCAGGGGAGACGCCACCCACCCCCCGGGGAGCGCCCGGCACCCGCAGGAGGCGGGGGTCCCACCTTCATTGTCTCTGGGCCGGGCAGGGAGGCTCAGAGGTCGTGTGTTCAACTGCTCCAAGTTCGGGGAGACGCAGGCCTGGGGGGAGGGGGGCTGTGAGGTCACAACTGTGCCCCCTGCCTTGACCCCTGGCTGGGCGTCCCGGACGTGGAGCGCAGGGGCTGGGTGTGGGCGCTGGGGCGGCCAGAGCATTTGAACCGGCTGACCGTGGCCACGCGGAGCCCTGCCCGCCCCGGAGATGGGCGATTAATCGCCAGTAATTGGCAGCTGCAGCGATTTGGGGAAATGAGCGCAGCTGAGCGGCGGCTCAGAGCCTCTTAGTAGTCATCGCCACGCATCAGGAGCGGCGCCTGGCTCCTCCGGGCGGGCCGGGGCCCAGGTGGGCTCCCCGGAGGGGCTGGGGGGTGGGGAAGGACCCCCAGATGCCCCTTGCCGCCACCCCTCCCCGCCTGGGCCCTGTTTGGCAGGCCCCCACCGGGCGCTGGGTCGAACATCTCGAGGCAGTGTTTTATGGGGCCTGCGTTTCCAGAGGGAAGATTCATCGCTTCCCTCGCTGCAGATGAGCCGGGCTGCTCTGCGTTTGATTTGCAGTCCTGCCCACCGTAAACCTGTCGGGCAGCCGTTAAATCTCCCCGCCCAGCTCCTCCTCTCTGGGGTTGCGTCTCCCCCTCTGGCTCAGAGCCTCGGTCCCCCGTCCCTATCCCCGCCCCTTCCGCGCCTCGCCTGGGCCCCCGTGCTCAGAGCCGGGCCCTCCGCGCCCCGTGTCTCCCCAGAACCTGGAGAAGCAGATGAGGCAGCTGGCCGTGATCCCACCGATGCTGTACGACGCCGACCAGCAGCGCATCAAGTTCATCAACATGAACGGGCTCATGGACGACCCCATGAAGGTGTACAAGGACCGCCAGGTCATGAACATGTGGAGCGAGCAGGAGAAGGAGACCTTCCGCGAGAAGTGAGTCCCGGGTCGCCCTCACAGCCACGGGGCTCTGTCCTCTCCCGGTCTGGAGGCCACAAGTCCAGACGGGGGCGTTGGCCGGCCGGCTGGGAGGGGCCTATTCCTCGCCGGCCCCCAGCTGCTGTGGCTGCCACCGTCCCTGTCCCGTGACTCGTGGACACGTGGCTCCCGTGTCTGCCTCCGTCGCCACGTGGCTGTTGCCTCTGTCTCTCTGTGCCTCCCTTCTCATAAGGACGCCAGTCGTTGGGTTTAGGGTCCGGCCCGATCCGGCGTGACCTCGTCTTAATTAATCCATGGAGACCCTGTTTCCAAATAAGGCCATGTGCCGAGGCTCTGGGCGGATTTCCTGGGGGCTCGTGTGGGTAGTCGGGGCCGTCGGGAGAGCAGGCGGGAGGGTCTCAGCGGCTGCGCCCTGGCCCTGGGCAGGGCTGTGTGGCCGGCCGGTGGCTGGTTGGTTGGATTTTGAAAGTGGCTGTTTGTTGAGCCGGGTCTTGATCTCAGGCAGGGTGGCAGTGTCCCCTGGGCTGTGTGCGTTTGTCCCTCTCACCCCTTATGACAGCTCAGCCAGGCCACCCCCAGTACGCCTGGGACAAGATGGGGACACAGACAGGTTAGGACGTTTAACGAAGGCCACACAGCTTGCCCGCAGTGGAGGCAGGAATCGAACTCCCGCAGCTGGAAAGGAGAGGCTGGGCGGGGGGGGGGGGGGGGGTGGAAAGCAGAGACAGGGCTTGAGGACTGAGAGGTGATGCCCCCCGCCGCCAGCAGACGTGACAGCTGTGTCCTAGGGGGACACGCCGTTGCGAAGATCCAAGATGTGATCTCCAGGCCCCCTTCCTGGTCGGGGGCCCCCAGAGGAGACGGTGGGTCCCACAGTCTGGCCTTGCCCAGCCACCCCATGACACTCGGGGACACTCAGCTGTGATTACTGCGTCCCAAACGCTGCGCTCCCTCCCGCAACACAGGGCACCCCCTCAGGACCCTGGCCCCCTCACGGCAGGAGGGTGGGAAACTGAGGCACAGAGGCCTCAGAGCCGGGTCGGGAGGGCATGCTGGGAACAGACTGGCGTCTATCCCTGCCCGTGTTTAGCTGGTGTCCCTCTGAGCCCCGCCCTCCTTGCCTCCCGCGGAGAAGGTCCCGCTGTAAAAGAGCATCCTCCGGAGCGAGGACACCGCATGCCGCTCCACCGGGGACCAAAGTCCGGGGTCTGGCCGTCTGCGCCCTTTCCCGGGAGGGAGGTGCTGGGCGGGGCCTGCCGGGCAGGCTGACTCGGGGTCCCGGGCTGACGCGGGGTCCCGGGCCAGGCGTGGGAGCCGTCTGGAGGGTCCCGGGTGGAAAGTAATGCCTTTTAGAGTAGCTTTGGGTGACGCAGAGTTTAGAACACACACAGTTAGAGGGAGGGTGGCACCCGCCACGCAGGTGCCGGTCCCCAGCGAGAAACAGCGTCTCAGGGACCGAGCCCACAGCGGGCCTGGGTCTCACTGCTCAGCGGCGGGAAATGAGGCTGCCTCCCGGGTCCCTGTGATGGGAGGTGTGGCTGTCCTGCTGTCACGTCGAGTTCTGTGCTGAGCGTGTGCACAGTTTCAAACCAGGGAGGTGACGATGGGACAGTCACGGACGTTAAGAATGAGACTGCTGCATTAGGCGTTTAAATCCCTGCCGGTATGTTGGATGCTTTATGTTTTCTTATTTTAAATACGGTGATCTGGGGCACGTTTTGTGGCTTCAGCCTGTGCCGAGAGTTCCTGTCGCTCTGCAGGCCCCAGTCTCTCTCTCTGTTGATTCAGTGGCTGGCCCAGGAGAGCCAGGCTGGGCTGGTGTCCGTAGGCTTGGCCTGCCCCTGGCCCTGTGCGGCACACAGCCCGGCAGCCCCGTCCCTCGAGGGTGGTCCTGGTGCCAGTCTCATTTGCACAGGCGTCGATAGCCCTCGGGGCCTCCGAAAATCACGTGCCGCCGCTTATTGGCTGTGCGATCAGGCCCCTCCCAAGCCTCAGTTTCCTCATCTTCAAAATGGGTATGGCATCCGCGCCTCCCTTGTTCGGCGGTTGTGAGGCACCCAGTGCACGGAAAGTTTTCCACGGACGTTGGCAGGGCATGCAGGTGGGGGTCGGGGGCTGGGGAACAGGTGACCTGGGAGACGCCCAGGTTTGGTTCCTGGGTTCTGGGGGGCCCCATGTCTGCCTGGTGAAACCCCAGGGGAGGGATCTGGGGGGACGGGAAATGTCACGGGGGCAAGGAGGTGCAGGAGGAGGGTCTGAGGGTGGCTCAGCCCTGCCTAGGGCGGGATCCCCGGCGGGGAGCTCGCCTGCCGCTCTGACATGCCGCTTCCTCGGGAAGAGAAGAGGCTGTTCCGGACTCTCCGGTGTCTGGCTGGGGAGCAGGGGAGGGGCCGCTGGCCTCCTGCCCGGCCATCTGGAGGCCCCGTCTCCCGTCGTGGGCGCCCCGGCCCCCTCCTTGCTAGCAGCCACCTCTGTCCTGGACGAGGGCCGTGGGTACGATGGGCCGGGGCCAGGGCCTCCACCCGGCACCCCTGGGCCCGAGCAGGCCTCGACCACGTCCCCGCCCCCACCGCCCGCTGCTCCTTCGGCCCTGACATTTCATCCTGGCCCCGCCGTTTCCCAGTAATTCTCCTGGCTACGCAGGAAGCCGGCTGGCCCGCTGCCAGCTCCCCACCCCCTCTCCGGATTCAGTCCGTTCTCGCCGCCTTCTTGGCTGGCCTCTGCCTCCCGCCTCCCCTGGGCACCCGGGGCCTCTGCTCCCACCTTCCCTGGGGGGCCCGGCAGCCTGGCGGCCGTGACCCGGTTGGAGGGGGCCCGGCCTTGTTCCCAGGCAGGCCTGTGTGGGCCGGGCGAGGCCCGTCTTCCCAGACCCAGCTGGAGGGAGAAACAAAAGCAGATTTTAAACGGGGGGGAACCCCACCGAAGAGCTGCATGTCCTCATTTTTCCTGGAAGCCGCCTCCAGCAGGACAAACAAATGTATTTTCAAAGGCGCTAAAGCCAGTGACTCACTCCAAGGAACGCCCTCTCCTACTCCTGGGTCCCCACCCGCCCTTCCCACACCCCCCTGGGCTTAATTGCTCCGAGTGGGGCGGTGCCCGCCGGGCCGGCCAGTGGAGAGGGCAGGCGCCGGGGCGCTCGGCGGCCACCCGGGAGGGAAGCCCCCGCGGCCTGCGCTCACGCCGCCCTCGTCTCCCCGCAGGTTCATGCAGCATCCCAAGAACTTCGGCCTGATTGCCTCTTTCCTGGAGCGGAAGGTGAGTCTCTTCCCTCCTGCCCGGCGCGCCCCGCCCCACCCCTGGCATCGCTTCCGTGGGCAGCCTCCTGGGCGCGGGCTGGGGGACCCTCCTGCCTGCCCGGCCCATGCTCGGGCTGCGTCCTCCCCTCCCATCCTCCCCCCTCCTCCTCCTCCTCCTGGGAGCAGCGGCAGGCCCAGCCCCGCCTCCCGCGCCCTGGGGGAGGAGCGTCAGGTTGCCGGAGGCCTGGGAGCCCCGGAGAGCCGCCAGGACACGGGCTCCCCGAGCCCTGTGTGCCCCGCCAGCTTCCAGGGTAGCCCCGAGCATCCTTGCAGAGTGGGGCGGGTTCTGGAAGCTTTGCCGCACCTGCCGTCCCGGTCAAGGCCTTGTGGGCGGAGTGATGGCTTCAAAGGGGCTGGGCGGACGACCTTCCTAGGTCCCTCTCGTGGTCACGGTTTCCTTTTTGATGCCCCTGGTGCCACGGCAGATGCCTGGCCTACGAGTCCCCACCCCCTGGCGAGGAACCTTCCCGTAGAACTGACGCTCGAACCCACCTTGCCCCAGACCCCAGCCCAGAGCGGCTCCGGCTGGCTCGTAGGCACACAGCGCCCCCAGGACGGTCGGTCCCCGTCTCTGCACCCACAGCCTGGCTGGCGGTGCCGGGAGAGGCCTTAGGTGGGAAGATGGCACCGTGGCCTGGATGAGGCCCCGGCGGTGGTCCCGGGAGAGACCGGTGTCACAGGGTGGGACGAGAGGGGCTCCCCGAAGGGTTCCCCCGGGCGCGAGGCCCGGCGCGTTCTGGGCTGGTCCCCCAATCAGATCGTCCAGCCGCGGGTCCGCAGACCCTGTGCGGGAGGCCTGGGGCGTACGTGCACAGGAGGTGGCCGAGCGGGGTCCTAGCGGTTCTTTGAAGGGCGACCCGCGCCCAGCGTCCGCCCCGAGGAGCCGATCACCTTAGAAGGAGCGAGCCGGGCCGCAAGGGGAGAACCTCTCCGCACCGGGAAAACCAGTGTGGGGAAGCAAGCCCTATAAATAGCCTGTCCTCCCGGCCGGTGCCGGCAGCTCCCCGGGCTGTGGGCGGTGCAGCACGCCCGGGGGTGGGGCAACCCTGGGGGTGTGGGCGCGGAGTCGTCACCCCAGACGGCAAACTTTATGGGGCGCTGTGGCTGAGAGCGGCCAGGACGGACTGGGGCAGCATTCCCAGAAAGGCCTGGAGCGGGAGCTGCCCACCGGCAGGCCGGCAGGGATGGCCGGCCTGGACAGCGAGTGCGGCCGGCGTCAGGTGGGGCCAGGTGGACGGACAGGCCTTGCCCGTCTGGGGGGCGGCTGCCACCCAGGGCCAGCCTGTCCTCGGCACAGGAAGGCTCTCGCGTCAGGCTCACAGCCCCCCAGTCGCGGGTGCCGGCACCCGGTTATAAAACATCTTTCTCGGTGGCTGTGAGGTCCCCCTGGCTGGCGGGAGTTAACCTGGGGTCTCCCGGGAGCAGCCTCTGTTCCTGGCACGCCCCAGGAGGTGGCTTTTCCTTTAGGGCAGTGGAGGGGCTGAGGCCCAGGCCGCCTCTGCATCTAGCAGGCCTCGGGGAATGTCCCTGGAGGCGGGTTCCCGGCTTGGGACCCGCCTGAGACTCGCGGGAGCGTGTGAGGTCGTGTCAGAGACAGCCGCGGCACCTGGCGGGTCCCCGTGCCCGCAGGTGGGGGCATCGCAGCACTGCTTTCGAGAGGGCCGGAGGGGGCTGGGTGCCCTCCCAGCCAGCGCCGCCAGCCTTCGGGCCAGACCCGCGCAGGGAGACCAGGCAGAGAGAAGTCGGCCTTGGCGGTGCTGCAGGGGCGTGGGCTGGTCCTGATCCTGGGCCTTGGGGCAGGTGGGTCCGGACCCCAAATGTCGGGGAAGAGGGGGCTGAACAGAGAGGAAGGAGAACCCAGCCCGGTGCTTGGGGACGGCTTTGAGTTTGCCCCGCTGTGAGTGAGAGCCTGTGTTTTCCGTGATGGTTGGGGGTGATGTGACGACGTCACGGTTACTGTCGACAGTGGTAATAGCGATAGCAGGTGTTGGTTCCGTGCGGGGCATCGTCCTGAGCGCGTTACCTGCACCTTAACTTACCTGGCCTTCGGGACGGCTCTGGGACGTCTGCCTGCTACCATTCCCACTTTACAGATGAGAAACCGAGGCACAGAGCCGGTCAGGTAACCTGTCCCAGGTCACCCGGCTGGCTGGTGGAGGAGGCAGGATTCGAACCCAGGCCTCTCGGCTCCCAAGCTGGGTGCCACCCCCCAGCCTCAGCGCTCCTCTCTCTGCCCACAGACGGTGGCCGAGTGTGTGCTCTACTACTACCTGACCAAGAAGAACGAGAACTACAAGAGCCTGGTGAGGCGGAGCTACCGGCGCCGGGGCAAGAGCCAGGTGAGGGGCGGGTGGGGGGCGCTCGTCTTGGGGGGCGCTCGTCCTGGGGGCCGCGGCAACAGCCTGGTGAGGGGCGGGTGGGGGCACTTGTCCCAGGGGGCCCGGCCCCCTGCGCTCCCGGCGGCTGCCTGCTCGGTGGCCGGCGTCCCGCGCGGCTGGCGGTGACCGTGTCCAGGAGCTGGTGCTGGCCCGCCAGTGTGAGCCCCATCGGGGGCGGCAGATCTGGGGGTCCCCGGTCTGGGGGTGCTCACCCTGCCCCCGCCCCAAGCATCGGAGGACGGGGCTGGGGAGAGCTGGCCGCTCTGTGGGCTCTCGGCCGGGAAGATTCCAGGACTCGTCCCCCACGTGAGGGCTTCCCGGGCCGACTCGGGGTGGTCCACACGCTTAACGTGTTTTAGATTTTCATGGTTTTGCGTGTTTGTTTTAATGCATACTTGAGAGAAGAAAAACAGCCGGCACTTCAGCCTGCTTGGGGTGAAACTGAGGGTTATTTACGCTGGAGTGGGGCAGACTGGGGACTCTTGGACTAAGTCCAGCCGCCGCCTGTTTTTGTGAATAAAGTTTTATTGGCGCGTGGCCACGCCCATGTGTTTACGTGTTGCCATGGCAGCCCCCCCGTGCGTGGTCTCCCGGCCGTGACCGCAGACCTATGGGCTGCGATGCTAGATTGTTTGCTCGCCGGCCCTCGGCAGAAAAATCTTCGCTGACCTCTGAGCTAGAGGAAAAAGGAGTTGGCCTGAAAAAACATTCCTGCCAGGTGCGGTGGCTCACGCCTGTGAGCCCAGCGCTTTGGGAGGCCAGGGCGGGAGGATGGCCTGAGCCTCGGAGGTGGGGGCCACAGGGAGCTGTGGTGATGCCGCTGGGCTCCAGCGTGGGTGGCGGAGCGAGACCCTTTCTCTGGAGGAAAAGGGAAAGACAATGCAGTAAATTGCGCAGGGGTGACGGGCGCGTGTGGAAGGGGGTCCCTCGTCCTTGGGTCGGGAGTGGGGTGGTGGGCGGTGGAGGACCGGCGTGGAGCAGGTGCGGGCGCACCCGCAGAGGGGGAGGCGGGAGGGCACTGCAGGGGTGGCGGGGCGGGCAAGGTGCAGGCGGTCGGAGGACAGGGAGGGCTGTGCGGGCCGAGCCGTGTCCGGGGCTGGGTTCCCCGCCCTGCGCCGGCCTCTGTGCGCGAGCCTCGCCCTCCGCCCAGGCCTGTCGTCCCAGCTGCTCCCCATCCGTGCCTGCTCCCGTTCCCACGCGGCTCCCGGGCCAGCTGGGGGCCGTGTCCCTCCCGTCTCCCCTCTGCGTCCCGCGCTCCCCATGAACCCCCCCTTCCTGGGTGGCCAGCGGCAGTAGGGGCTGCTGTAGGCACCGCAGAGAGGGGCTGCTCGTGGTGCGGCTCCCGTGGCCCCAGCCACGTCTCTGTCGAGGACGGCCAGTGGGCGCTCGCCTGCCAGCGCGCAGATGCGCTCACGGGGCCCTCGCGTCCCATCTCTGCGGCCTGCCCCCCGTCCCCCATGGCCAGCACAGGGGAGCTTGCAACATGCACCGAGTGTGTGTGGTCACTGGGAAGTTGAGGTGCAGCGTCCTGCAGGCCGAGTGGCCAGGCCCGAGCTTTGGAGGGGAGTCGGACAGTGACCCAGGAAAGGGGAGCGAGGGACCGGCCGGTGACAGGCTGCAGGGTTGTCGGGCAGGGGCAGAACGGCCCCCAGGCCCAAAGGCCCCCACCTGCAGCCTTGGGGACAGTGCTCTTGCCGAGTGGGGGGCTCAGGACGGGGTGAGCCCCTCGCCATCTCTGCCGCGTGGTTGAGGAGGGGACGCCAGGCCGCAGGGCTGACGGTGACAGCGGCTCTCCCAGGCGTTGGGCCGTCTGCCTTCTTCCATGCCGCTGACCGCCGCGGGCTGCTGCAGCCCGTCCCCGTTCTCGGACCTGGACTCCTGGAGTCCAGTGTGCGGGGAGGGCAGTGCTCTGGGGGGGCGGGGGTGCCATGGGCACGCAGTCACTGGGCCACCCCTCACCTGTGGGAGGGTCGGGCCACAACCCCATGTTCCTGACGCGCCCGTCCGGCCCGGGGCCTGCTCTAGGAAAGCCTTGGCATTGCAGGTCGGGCCCGGAGCCGAGTGCCGGTGGCAGAGTAGGAAGTACAGTCTGAGGCGGCCCCCGGCAGCCTGGCCCCCGGCAGCCTGGCCCCCGGCAGCGCTCTCAGGACCCGGAATGCTCCTTCCAGGGTGTCCAAGTCCGGCTGGGCTGGCTGGCCGTAGCCGAGGCCGAACCTGGTGGGGCGTCTCTGAGCCAAGTCGCTCCCCCAGGGCTGAGGGCAGCCGGTCCCTTCTCAGGGTGGCCTGGCCCAGCCAGGCCTGCCTGGAGGTGGCCTGCGCGCTTGCGTATTTGCAAGCCACCCTGCAGTTCGGGGACCCTGTCTGAAGACTTCAGAGCAGGCCTGGCTCCGGGGACCGGCCTTCCCTGCCCTGTCTCCCCAAGCCCCGTACCAGAGCTGGCTGTCTGTCCGTCACCTGGTAGGAAGTGTGCCCACTGGGCGTCTCCGGGCTCAGAGCTGCCTGGGCGCTCCTGTCCCGGCCCACGGGAAAGCAAGGCCGCTTCAGTGTCCACTGCCCGGCAGTGACGCACTCGGGCCATTCGGCGTGGTGGGGTCGCCTTCTTGTTCCCCGGAGGGTGCCGTCCACCTTCCAGAAGCTTCTCTGTAATCAGACAGAGGGAGCTGCAGGCCGGGCGTAGACTTGGAACGAGGCCCCTTCAGCTCTAGGGGGAGGGCTGAGCCCCCACCTTCTGGAACCCGCCCCCCAGGCCCGGCTGCGAGTGGCTGGTGAGTGCAGGCCGGGCCTCGGCCCGAGCATCCTCTCCTGGCCCCCCACCCCTACCCCGGCCCCGCCACCTGCCCTGAGGTGAGTCACGGGCCGTGCTTGGGCCCGAGCCCCGGCTGACGGCACGGCAGTTTCTAGTTCGTGATTGGGGCGGAAGGGCCATGCCATCCTGGTTAATGGCACAGAGCCCAGCAGCGCGGTGGTCAGTGGACGCTGACCTGCGCAGACCGCCAGCGGCCAGGGTGTCCAGCAGCAGGGCACGGCCTGAGGCCGTGGTGGCCGTGGGTCAGCCACTAGGGCCTCCCCACGGTGATGGGGGTGACCCGTGGCCAAGGGGCACGTCCCTGAGGGTGAGTCCCCTCTCTCAGGGCCGCATGGGGGTGCAGGGCAGGTCGGGGTCTCCCGGTGGGCAGGATGCAGGCACAGGAAGTCCGTCCTGGGCTCCAGGCGTCCCGGCCTGCCCCTCCTGGCCGCCAGGCCCAGGGAAGGACGCCAGGGAGGGGCGGCCTCCAGCTGCCGTGTGGCCTGTGCTCTCTGCTGTCTCTGTGCGCCGTGGTGTCCAGCCCCGCCGGGCTCTGCTCTGGCCAGGCCCTGGGACTCCTACGTGTGTCTGGGTCAGCCATGCCTCCACCCCCCGTGTCCCTACTTCTGTGGGTGTCTGTCTACGGGTGGCTTCATGTCTGTCCCCCCTTTTTCTCTGTCCACGTCCCTGGTCTGTTCCTCGGCTTCTGCCTCTGTTTCTTTCTCCCTCCTCTCCGGGTCTCATCTCTCCCGCTCCTGCTCTCTTCTCTCTGCCCCCACGCCCCCTCCAGCCCTGCCTGCTCCCCCCCCCCCAGTTCCTGCTGAGGGACAGGTGACCTTGTTCCTCTCGCCGCGGCACTCAAGTGTCCCTTGTGCCTCCCGCAGCAGCATGGGGAGCAGTGTGACCAGGACGGCCGTGTCAGGACAGGCCAGCCAGGCTCGGTCCCCGGGGAGGGGGGCCGCTGTCCGGCCCGGCTGCCTCCCCTGGTGACGCAGTCCCGGGTGGCAGGACCCGCCGACGGGCCAGACCAGGTGCCCGCAGGCCACGTTCCTCCTCCCGGCCACCAGTGCTGGGTCTCCTCTCGGGCCCCTGCCTACCCAGGGCTGGGCCGGCTGGACATCGGGCCTGGGGCGGTGCCGGGTCCCACTCTGCCGGGGCGGGCTGGCCCTGGTGGGACCGGGTGCGGATTCGGCTCCTGGGTCCCTGCCCAACTTTGTGCTAAGTCGGGAGAGGCCGGTTGGGGTCCCCCAGGCCTGAAGTTGGGGGACGCTGTTCTCAGGGATGGCGGCAGGTGGGGGCTCCCCAGGGAGCAGGGGAGGCCGGAGCCCAGGATGGAACATGCCTGGCCGGGGTGCGGGAGGAGACGAACGCGGCCGGTCACGGCTGGCGGGGTGTGTGCGGGGTCCGGCCCCACAGGCCCACCCGAGGCAGACCACGTAGGGAGGTGGGAGGGGTGGAAGACGGGGGCCACCCAAGCCGGGCCGCCGGAGTCGGGATGGTCGCCAGGACAGCAGCGCCACGTGGTGGCCACGTTGGGAGGGCCCTGGACGCTGAGATTGCCCGGGGACGTGGCGGGTGGAGGGGGTTGAGTCTGTCCTGCTGTGACATCATTCCAGGTGGTTCCCTAGTGGACAAGGCAAACCAAGTCCCCGGAGCTGACACGCCCGCGGGGACAGGCCCTGCACGAACAAGTCCGCGCGGCAGCTGGAGGGCGTTAGCCAGAGCTCGGGCCAGAGTGGGGAGGTGGCTGGCGGGAAGGAGGGCAGCTTAGGGCGCTGGCCCCCGCGGCCTCTCTGAGGGGGTGTCCCCCGCGCTGGGACCCGAGTGGTGATAAGGGACCGGCCAGGCAGAGTCAGGGGAGAGTGTCCCAGGCTGTGGCTGCAGCACGTGCAAAGGCCCTGCGGCAGGAGCGAGTGTGGCGTCCCCTGGGGCCAGTGCTGCGCAGGGGCAGGCGCGGCCCTTCGGGAGGACTCTATTTCAGGTGGCAGGACTCTGAGTTGGGACGATGGACCCTTGGTGGGACAGGCCTCCACGGCACGCGTGTTGACTGTTGCACGTGTCGTGCGGACACACGTGTCTGTCGCTGAGAACCAGTCTGCATTTAGCAGCCGCCCTCTGCGGGGACAGCCCCGCCCACTGCACGCCACGGCACCGGTCCCTGCCGCGGGCACGGCTGGCAGGGGCGACCCCAGGGGCAGGATGACGCCCACCGCGGGCAGGGACGCGGGAAGGGCTGCTCTGGGCGCCCGCCGCCTTGCTGCCGTGGCCATCTGTCCTGTCATGAGCCAGGCCGTGCGTTTCGGGTTTAGTTAGGGCCTCATCCCGCAGCGGCCTCCAGAACGCCCGGGCTGCCCGCGGACTCGGGGGCGGGCTGGCTCTGTGGCCCTGCGCGTCTCTAGAACACGCCCCGCCCCGCCCCTGCCAGGCGCCCCCTGCCTGCGTGGCCCCAGGGGGACAGGGTCGGGTCGGAGGGCAGAGGCCGGGTGTCGTGGAGGGGCTGGCCTGCAGCAGAACACTCTGACCCCCGACCCCACGTCTCACAGCGACCCCAGGCTGACCCCTGCACCCCCTAGGGGCGGGGGTGTCTCCAGGGCGGGCGCGTTGGGTGAACTAGTGAGCTCTGCCGCCGCGGTGTTGCCGGGCCGCGAGTTCCCGGGTGCGCTTCTAAGGACTCTGTCTGGGAGCCGAGTCTCGTGGGCTCCCTGGCGGGAGGCGCCGCCTTCTCGGGAGGGGTCAGCGTCAGGGCCCCGTTGGGCTGTCTGCAGCGTGGGGGGTCCTGCCCCAGGGCTCACCCTGCCTTTGGAGACTCGCTCAGTGGCCTCCTGTCCTGCCGCTGCCTCGTCCCTGGGTCGGACGACAGGCTGCCACGTCTGCGCGCGTTTGTTGAGCCTCTTGAAGGTTTTCTTGTCACCGGGGCCTCTGCCTCTCCTGTCGCCATCCCGGTCTCTGTCAGCTTAAGTGCAAGCTCTGGACGGTCGGGGACCGCGTATTTCTGTGGCCTGTGTCCCCCTTGGGCGCTCGGGGCACGTTTGTGGAAGGAATGAACGAGTGAGTGGCGCAGTTTGGCTTAAATGGGCATAGGGAGAAGACTGGGATCCCCTGGCCAGCGAGCTAGGAAATGCTGTGTGACCTTGGGTGAGTTACTTAACTTTTCTGTGTTTTATCATTCTCATTTGCAAAACAGGGACGAGACCAGGGTTGTTGGGAGGATTCACGTCACCGACAGGTATGAAATGAGGAGAAGGGGGACTCGTTAAACGTTTGTCGCACTCAGGAAGCGTTTGTTATTCCTGCTGAGATAGTTCTCTGCACGGCCCCTGGTCCGGGGCCTCAGCGCAGGCTCTGGGTTCCGGGCGGCGGGTCTGGCACTCAGGCTTCCAGAAGCAGGGGCTCCTCGGGGGCCTGGGCCAGCGGCAGTGGCTGGCCGCAGGTCTGGTCGGGTTTTCCCCAGGGTCGTGCCCTCGTTAGGGGACGATGTCCCCGACCCAGCCCTGGGCTCTGAGCCCGTGGTCGGCCGGCCGGTGACGTGGGTGACGGCAGGGGTGGCCCTCACCCTGAGCCCAGGATGGCTGGGGGTGGCAGTGCGGGGCCCCTGGTTCTCCCGGGTCCCTGAGGCCCAGGGAAAGGCCATCCGCCGCCCGTGTCCAGGGTCCCGTGCGTGTTTTGCGAGACAGGGACCCGCAGGGCCCGGCAGCCCTCGGGCGCCACCCAGGCCCTCCGCCCAGACTCCGCATTCGACGGAGATCCCGGGCCCTGCTGTGCCTTCGGGTTTGAGTGGCGGGCACTGGTGTAGCGCAGGGCGCCTTTGGGTTTGAGTGGCGGGCGAGGGTGTAGCGCAGGGCGGGCAAGTGAAGGAGCCACAGGAAACGTCCCGCCCCCTTCTGCTCCCGTGAGGTTTCATTGGCCCAGGGCCGTCCGTCTCTGCAGTGCTGCTCGCGCCTGCAGTGGCAGAGCTGGGCCGGTGCAGCAGAGCCCACTGGCCGCAGTCCCACGGTCTTACCATCTGGCCCTCACGGAGACGGCCTGCCGTCCCTGAGCACAGCACCGGTTCTTGGGCGTGGCAGCCCCGGGATGACCCGGAATGTAAAGTGCTGACACTTGGTCTCGGGCGGAGATGCCCAGGTGTGGGCTAGGTGTCGCAGCCTCGCACGGCTCCCCAGGCCGGCCTCGGGGGACCCTGAGAACCACGAATCCGGCACGTGCAGTTCTGCAGCCCCGTGGCAGGCTGAGAGACGGTCAGCGCCGAGCCGGCCGCCGCTGGGTCTGCTGTTCTAGAGCCAGGCGCTTCAGGGGGCCAGGCTGGCGACCGGGTTGACTCCCGCCTCCTGGGGAGTCTTGGCCTAGGGCCTCCGTCTCCCTGTGTGAATCGCCCAGGAGTGAGCAGGGGCTGCCCCCCGCCAGCCCATGGGCCTCCGAGTCCCGCCTGGCGGCCAGCAGACACTGCTGGTCAGGGCCGGTGGGGTCTTCCCATGTGTCCTGCTCACCCTCCCCCGCTGGGGTGCTCGGCGAGGGGCAGGGACGCCTCCCTCGGGGGTGGGTTAGGCCACCAGGGGCCGGGAGCCGTCCAGGGCCCAGGGCGGCGCTGGAAGGCGCGTGTGTGCGTGTGTGTGTGTGTGTGTGTGTGTGTGTGTGTGTGTGTGTGTGGAGGGTGGGGTGGGAGTCCCCGCCCCTGCCTTTGGTGGCGGGGAGGGGCAGGAGGGCGCGGGCCCGGCGCCGGGACTGCACTCCTGGTGGGGAAAGGGCGGAAACCACGGCCAGGCTCTAGTGCCGACAAGGACCGCTGGCCTCGCGTGCGATGGGCCAGCTTGGGGGGCAATGACCTGGGGCGTCGCTGGCCGGCCGGGGGACGGGTGTGGGGGTCCGGCGGGGGGGGTCCCACGTAGCCACGGGCGCGCGGAACTCAGACCCTCGCACGTTGACTGCCGCGCTAGGAACAGAAAGTGTTTTCCTCGGGGCCACGGCGTTTTATCTCGAAAATAGAATAAAAACTTTGAAAACGAAACGATCCTTTCTAACGTAATGAAAAATTATTTTTTATTGTTTTCTGTGCGTGAGTTATATGCACGTTGAAAAAAATAGTTCCCGCAGCTCCCGAGGTAGACGTGTGAGTTGTATGCGCTTCATGAGACCCTGGGCTCAAAACTAGCGTGAGTTAAATACGATTCACGCGGCAGTTACCGTGCTGGCTCTGAATCCTGGCCCTCGGTGACTGGCGTCACCGTCTCCGTGCCTCGGCTTTCTCTCCTGCAGAGGGCTGCGAGGCAGCACCACGGCGAGCGCCATGGGGCCGGCGTCCACTGCGCAGGGCAGGGGCTTGGGCAGGCCCGGCGGGGCCCGGCGAGTCTTGAGCTGGGGACGGGTGGGATCAGCAGAAAGGGGTGTCCGAACCCCAGATCCCAGCCGGGGGTGGGGTGAGCCTCTCAGCCAGGGCTCTGGTGGTGGCAGGACCACGTCCCCGCACCCCAGGGTGTCCCCGTCCTGCTCTGAGACCTCGGGCTTCACCACTCCCCACCAGCCTCAGTTTCTTCCTCTGCAGAACGGGAACGGCGACCACGGCCCTCCCGTCTCGGGCCAGTCGGGGCTGCACCCGCTGGGCGTGCAGGGGGGGGTGCCCACGGATCGGCCTGTGTGTGAGGCACCAGGGCTGGTGGAGCCCCCAACCTAGATCCAGGGGCTCCCGGAGGAGGGCGGCCCACGTGGCCGCTGCTGTTTGGGGGTGTGTCGCCAAGCTCTTTGGCCACGACGCTTTATCCTGACCATCACGTGGGGCAGCCCACCGGGCAGGACCCCTCCCTGGACAGCCACCCGGCTTCTCCCTGCCACTCCTGGTCCTAGTCCCCAGCTCCCGCTCGCCGCCACCGCCCACGTCAGGCGGCCGTGGAGACGGGCGCTGTCAGAACCTCCCGTCGCCCACCTGCCCCGGCGGCCACCTGCCCCGGTACCCATCGGCGGCTCCCAGGAGGGAGAGCGGCGTTGCCTGCAGGTACAAGAGGTGCCACCTTGGGCCGTGTGGAGGCCGAGCCGAGTGCCTGAGGGTTTGCGGTTAGCAGAGGGAGCACGGCTGGCCCGAAGACGGCGGGGCCACCTGTCCGGACTCGGCAGTGACGGGGCTGGGGCGGCTGTCCAGGTCAGGCTCTGCCCCTCGCCCCGTCCGCTTACAGAACACGGGGACGAGGGGCGGATCCCTGGGGAAGGGAGAGCGGGTCCAGCCGGGAGGCCCTGGAGTGGAGCCAGCGGCCACCTTTGGCGCTCAGCCCCTCGCCCTGTGTCCTGGTGTCCACGGGTGCCCATGGTGGGCCTGGCTCCGAGGGGGCCGAGAGGGCCCCAGCAGGGAGAAAGGGGGCTCGCTCTCACGCCCCGGCCCCCTCCCCCTCTGTCAGCCTGGAGTTCGTTCCCCTGGTTTGAAAAGAGGTGTGACTGCCCCTGGTGCATAGAGGGTTCGTTTTTATTCCACTCGGCCCGGCGGGGTGGAAAGCCGGTCTGGCTCAGCAGCTGCCCGCAGGGAGGACCTCGGGCGGCCTAGAAAATCGGTGCGCGCCGATCAGAGCAGTGGGCGGGGTGGAAGGGCAGCCGGGAGGCGGTGCGGGGAGCCGATGGCTGAGTGACCGGGGCAGGCCTGAGTGGGCAGGCGGCCTGGCCTGAGCCCTGACCCGCCCCGGGTCGTGGCCTGTCCTCCCCGCAGCAGCCACCTGCAGACAGCCTGGCCTCCCCCGCCTCCCCCTTTACAGACTGGGGGCTGAGGCTTAGAGAGGGGGACCTGCATTCTGTGAGGGGCAGGGCAGGGCTGGGGCGCCAGTGCCGTGTCCCCAGATTCCCGGACGCACCCCCGCCCCTGCCTGGGCCGACCAGAGCCCCTCACTCCGGCCCCGATCGCTCTGCCCCTCTCAGACACCCATGCCGGGCGCCGTCCTAGTGCCGCGTGGGGGTTGCCTCGCTGCAGCCCCAGCCCCTGGCTGAGACACGAGTGTGCCGAACACCTTGTTTTAGAAGCAGAGAAATGAGAGCACAGAGAGGTTAAGACCCTTATTCGAGGCCACACAGCCACTAAGCAGGGGAGGCAGGAATCGAACCCAGGGCATCTGGCACGAGTGCTTCCTACGCCTCCCCCCCAGCCTCTCCCCAGCCCCTACCAGCTGGCCCTGGCCTCCCCTTCACAGCCTCCCCTTGGGCTGACTCCGCGGTTTGCCCTCCTCCTCTCCCCCTGCGCCTGCCCAGGTGCGCAGACCCACCTGCCTCACTGTGCCCCTCTCTCCCCTCCCCTGCCCGCCCATAGCAGCAGCAGCAGCAGCAGCAGCAGCAGCAGCAGCAGCAGCAGCAGATGCCCCGGAGCAGCCAGGAGGAGAAGGATGAGAAAGAGAAGGAGGGGGAGAAGGAGGAGGAGAAGCCGGAGGTGGAGAACGACAAGGAGGAGCTGAGCAAGTAAGGCCCTGGCCGCCCACACTCGCACACGGGGCCTGGGGGACCCGGGCAGGGGGGTGAGGACGGGGATTGGCTGGCTGTCCCCAACAGCCCCTCCCGGCAGCCCTCCCGCCCCTCCCCGCCCTCCCTCTCCCCCCAGATGGCAGAGGCAGAAGCTCATCTGAGCTCCACTCTCCGGCTAATAAATCCGGGCGACGACTTTGGAACCCTTGGCCCCCCTCCCCTCCCGTCGCCAAGGGGGCAGGGCTGGTGGGTCCTCGCTGATGGGGGCAGGGCCCTGACAGCCCCCTCCCGCCGGGCCAGGTACCCTTCGCGCAGGAATGCGGCTGCAGAGCCCATCAGGCGCCCCTGCCCGGTCTCCTGCACGCCTTCCTGCGAGATGAATGGGAGGGCGCGGAGACAGGCCCGCGCCTGCTTGCCGTCCACGCTCGGCCTCCCGCCGCACCTGTGCAGGCACAGCCGCGTCTGCACAGAGTCCCTCTGCCCTGCGACTAAACTGGCCTTGTAGATGCTACTGGCCGCGCCCCTGCGCCGCCTCAGAGAGCCTCTCGGGCGGGCGGTGGACGTCTCTCTGGAGTACGGATGGCCTTGCAGACGCCCCCCCACCCCGCCGGCCGGCCGGCATGGGGGAGCCTCACACAGGAGCCCCACACCCTGTGCGGGACAGAACCCGTCCGGTGCCGCCTGGTCAGGCCCACGCCGTGGGCGACGGCCTGTGCGGGCCCCTTCGTGTCAGCGGCTGCACCCCGCTTCTGGGAAGGGGGGCCCCTGCGGGCCGGCAGCCTCGCCCCGGGCTCGCCCCGCTTCCCGGCGTCCCGTCCCGTCAGTGAGAGCGGGCGGCTGGCGCGGGGCAGGGTGCGCGGAGGGAGGAGCCTCTCCCAGCGGCTCAGGTGGTCCATCCTGTCCCCCCAGGGAGAAGACGGACGACACCTCGGGGGAGGACAACGACGAGAAGGAGGCCGTGGCCTCCAAAGGCCGCAAAACCGCCAACAGCCAGGGCCGGCGCAAAGGCCGCATCACCCGCTCCATGGCCAACGAGGCCAACAGCGAGGAGGCCGTCACCCCTCAGCAGAGCGCCGAGCTGGGTGAGCGGGGGCCGGGCGCGGCGCGTGTGAACACCGAGTGGGCTCTGTGTTAACTGGCGGCGGCTGAGGGGGTGGGTCCCAGCCTTAGCTACTGAGTGTGCTGTGTGACCCCGGGTGAGTTGCTCAACCTCTCTGTGCCTCTGTGCCCCCATCTGCACAGTGGGGGAAGGGGGTGCCACGTCTAACCGTGGTGGGAAGGTCTTCAGCAACTTTAATGTGGGAGAGCCTAGAACAGTTTCTGGGGATGTGGGACGGGCTCAGTGGCTTCAGCCGCCGTGACTTCAGAGCTGGGGCATGTCACGCGCGAGTCCAGGTCACCTGTTCTGGGCATCTCGTCGTTTCTACTTCGTTAGAGCTGGTCACGCTCAGCCCGCGTCTGCCCGAGACGGCCCCGCCGCGAGCTGAGCAGCCACCACCTTCTCAGAAGGATGTGGGTTCTGACTGGCCCCACCCAGCCCTGTGGGCATCCGAGCTCGTGCCTTCAGCTCTGTGGGCCTCGGTTTCCCCTTCGGCACAGAGGGGCGTTCATTGCCGGGTGCTCTGTGCCACTCTCTCCTCCCGAAAAGGGGGAGAGAGAGAGATTGAGTGGCAGATGCCACGTTCGGCCACAGGGGGCAGCCGTGCCTGTCGGTTGTCTCTGCACCTGTTTCCCGTCCCCAGGGCTCCCTCCCGGGCTGGGGCAGGCAGCCATGATGCTTCATCTCTCACAAACACCCCCCACCCCCCACCCCCGGGTCTGGGCCAGGCACCTGCCCCCGCTTCCGAGAGAGGCGGTTTGGACCCATTTCATAAACGCGCTACTCGAGGCTTGGAGAAGGGACGTTGCCTCCCCAGAGTCACAGAGCCCGTCGGGATTGGAACCCGGCCACCAACCCTGTGCAGTTTCCCTAGGCGTTTGCTGGCTGCCCCTCGGTGGCAGCGAATGGGAGGCCCAGGGAGGAAGGGCTTTCTGTGGAAGCGTGCTGGTTGGCCCCCGCGGCACAGAGCGACGGTCTGCTGGGGGGCTGTGGCCCCTGTCCCCCCACCCCTCCCCCCCGTCACCATGTCCCCAGGGGGGTGCACCTCCTGGCCCGGTGCTCACAGAGGCAGCTGTCACTGCTGAGACCCCTGTCAGCCTCAGTTTCCTCATCTGTGAAATGTGCTGACTGCGGGTCCTCTTCTCCGTGGGTCGCATGGAGGTGGACCTGCTCAGCTCGGGGCCGCCCGGCGGAGGTGGCTGGAGCCTGGGCGCGGGGAGGGGGACGGCCAGGAGGGGACGTCTGAAACGCTGCTCCCCTCGGGAGGCCCCGCCCCGCCCTCCCGTCCGTTGAGGGTGAGCCGTCTGTGCGGAGGACCCCCCACCCCCCGTCCCCGAGGGGGAGCCCGTCTGTGCGGAGGGAGCCCCCACCCCCGTCGCCGAGGGGGGAGCCGTCTGTGCGGGAGGGGCCCCCCCACCCCCCGTCCCAGAGGGGAGCCCGTCTGTGCGGAGGGAGGCCCCCCACCCCCGTCCCCGAAGGGGGAGCCGTCTGTGCGGAGGGAGGCCCCCACCCCGTCCCCGAAGGGGGAACCGTCTGTGCGGTAGGAGCCCACCACCCGTCCCGAGGGGGGAGCCGTCTGTGCGGAGGGACCCACAAACCACTCCCGTCCCCGAGGGGGCCCGTCTGGCGGAGGGAGCCCCCCACCCCCCTCCCGAAGGGGGAGGCCTGTCTGTGCGGGAGGGGAGCCCCCACCCCCCGTCCCCGGAAGGGGAGCCCGTCTGTGCGGAGGGAGCCCCCCCGTCCCTGAGGGGGGAGCCCGTCTGTGCGGAGGGAGCCCCCCCGTCCCCGAGGGGGGAGCCCGTCTGTGCGGAGGGAGCCCCCTCCCCCCGTCCCCGAGGGGGGAGCCCGTCTGTGCGGAGGGAGCCCCCCCACCCCCCCGTCCCCGAGGGGGGAGCCCATCTGTGCGGAGGGAGCCCCCCCACCCACCCCCGTCCCCGAGGGGGGAGCCCGTCTGTGCGGAGGGAGCCCCCCCACCCACCCCCGTCCCCGAGGGGGGAGCCCGTCTGTGCGGAGGGAGCCCCCTCCCCCCCGTCCCCGAGGGGGGAGCCCGTCTGTGCGGAGGGAGCCCCCAGGCCACCGCCAGCAACCGCGTGTCTCCCTCGCAGCCTCCATGGAGATGAACGAGAGCTCCCGCTGGACGGAGGAGGAGATGGAGACGGCCAAGAAAGGTGAGCCGCGTGCGGACGCCTCGCGTGCGGGAGGATGTGCGGGAGGACGCCGCCCGGGCCGGGGTGCGGTTCGCGGCGGGGCTCTGCCTTGTGGGCGTTCTCGCTGCTCGCTTCTGCTCGGAGCCTCCGTGGTGCCTTCTGGAAAGCGGGTCTGTGCGGCCACAGCGTGCTGGCCTGTGACACCGGTCTCTCTTCCCGGGACCCCGCCTCTCTTCCCTGGTCCCGGGTCCCCGCCTCTCGTCCCGGACCCCGCCTCTCGTCCCGGGTCCCCGCCTCTCGTCCCGGGACCCCGCCTCTCTTCCCGGGACCCCGCCTCTCTTCCCGGGTCTCTGCCTCTCATCCCCGGGTCCCCGCCTCTCTTCCCGGATCCCTGCCTCTGGTCCCTGGGACCCCGCCTCTCTTCCTGGGTCCCCGCCTCTCTTCTCGGACCCCGCCTCTCTTCTCGGACCCCGCCTCTCGTCCCGGATCCCCGCCTCTCTTCCTGGACCCCGCCTCTCTTCCTGGGTCCCTGGCTCTCTTCTCGGACCCCGCCTCTCGTCCCGGATCCGCGCCTCTCTTCCCGGATCCCCGCCTCTCTTCCCGGGACCCCGCCTCTCTTCTCTGGTCCCCGCCTCTCTTTCCGGGTCCCCCCCTCTCGTCCCTGGGACCCCACCTCTCTTCCCGGGTCCCTGCCTCTCTTCCAGGGACCCCGCCTCTCCCGCCTCTCTTCCTGGGACCCCGCCTCTCGTCCCGGGACCCGCCTCTCGTCCCGGACCCCGCCTCTCGTCCCGGGACCCCGCCTCTCGTCCCGGGACCCCGCCTCTCTTCCCGGGACCCCGCCTCTCTTCCCGGGTCCCCGCCTCTC